TTCCGCCTACCGGATTTGCCAACTATGTCGTTGGGGACCAGGATGAACGAAAACTTGTATGGTTCGCGGAATATGCATGCTTAAAAGAACACACCCCCTGGGAGGGTCAACTTCTGAACCCTTGTTTTAAAATTAATGAAATTTACGAGGTCGGCTGGTGGTCATGCTAAAGGGTTCATAACAAAATTTCAGGTCTGTCGGTTAAATGGAAAGGAAATCAGAGCAGCTTCTATCAGCCACACGTATACATTGTTTAGTTAATCTATCGTCGGAAAACTATCACAATATTCAAGATTTTGTATTCGCTAGACATGTAGCGAAATACCTGGGGGGTGCGGCTATAGAAAGTTTTTTTTATAAGAAGCCATTTATTTCTATAAATTTTCTCTTCTGCGAAATTGGTTAGCTTTTTTGTCTTCTGTGTCTTCGACAAAATATCAACATGTTTTGTGAAAGATATCCGTAAAGTGACAAAAACATTCCATAGCCGCATTCCTTGTTAATTTTGGTCAGGAAAAGTGAAGAATGAGCCTTCCATGTATTGCCATTATCAAATGATAGATTGACTAAAATGAAATTTATACCAAAAAGTGGAACAGAGAAAAATGTGTACAAAGTGCTCCAAACCCTACCTTTTCTTTAGCTTCAGTGGACAGAAAATAATTTATAAAGAATTAACTGTGCAGTCTAAACTAATTAAACTCCCTGGGAATACTCTCTAGATGTTGGTGGATCTAAATATGTCATTTTTCCAAATAAACTTTTTTTGCAGAAATTTTTTTTTCTGGGTAGTGTCCCGCTTTAAAAGTGGATATTTTACGTGGCACGGACTATCGACACGCGAGAACTGTACAACGATTTGTATTTTCGAGATTAATTATTATAACGAAGCACGACGGGTTTTGTGAATGAGAGAGTTTTCGTATGATGCAAGCTTCTTTGTGCGCTGGTAAAGCAGGCATTTTGTCAAGGCGTGCGGTGTATGATAAGTTTTTATGCGCGAAATAGGCACCATGTGCGATGTGTACGCGCCGGGTGCGGACTGTAGATCGGAAAATATGGTGCTCACCCAAGCTCGCCCAACTTCCCACTTTAGGCGAGATGGTTAGTATAGAAATGAAGCCGATGAGTATAGAATATAGAGTATAATACAGTCTAGGATATGATCAAAGCATGTGAACACCCTCCTCAACGTATCGTTATCACATCAGCTAAGATGGCGCCAATTAAGCAATCGGGCCCTGGCCCAAAACCGAGCATCTTTCGATGCATTTATTGGACGCAGGGCTCAGCCGAACATTAACACAGCGCTCGCGCATCATTTTTGTGTCTGTGCTTGATCTCACTTTGCTATCTGCCACGATGCTAAGGCCTTGATAATTATAGGTGGTGTTGGTAAAGTGCTACCGCAAACCAAAGGTCTTTACCGTATGTCGCGTATAGTCGTGTCAGACATACTTTACGATAACTAACCCCCACGACCACAAAAAATATTGTTGCTTTCAAAAACAAAAACAAACTTTTTTGCTTTTTTTTTCGCTTTTTTTTTTCGCTCGGAAAGCCTACCAACCTGTTTGGCAACGCCTAGTGGTGATTGCAGACATCAATATATATTTCGCCCAAATGCGGCCATTTAGTCAAATGTGGCCTTTGAAGTATTAGTGGTGATCGTTTTTGGTCCGCGTGAAATCGGTGCGTCTGCGGTTTCCCGGATTCGGTCTCAGCGTCAGCCATACTCTAACGACGACCATTAGCTAGATCAAGAAATGTCCAGAATGCAGCTCTGGATTCAATCGGTTTTATCTGGAATGTGGCTCCGGATAAAACTGAGTAAAAATATTTGATAATATAGAAAAAAAAAAAAAAAAACAGAATAGCGAGCTCAGAAATAAATTGGAGAGCCGGACGGCGTCGGCAGGGCGACTCAAATGTTTTGCTCATACCAAGCTGGGTTCCATTTAAAAATGGAGATGGTATTACCGAATCGGCTTATCGCCCTGAATAAGAAAGGTAGCGAAATTGGCCTTCCCTTCTGGCGTGCACAATTTTTAAAACCTTTTTTTCTTTCTTTTTTGCAGTCCCTGCCATCACTATCGTCCCTGGATAGCAAGCGACCGGTATTCTACAAAAATTATCGTTGATACTCTGTTTAACACCTGGGCCTTTACTTAGCAATTCAAAAGGAAGCGACATTTTAACGCTCCAACTCTCAGCAAACGCTTGGCAAAAAGCAATGCAATCAAAGTTTATATATATATACAGGGTGTCACAAAAGAAAATTTGCACGGTCTTTTTTACCGCAAATATAAACTAGGCATCACCGAACGCTCATTATCCGCCCAAAGGTAGAGCTAGAGGTCACAACCAGATGCCAAAGTTTCAGCCCGATCCCATAACTTAATCAAAAGTTATAAATTATTTTCTGAAAATTTCAATGGGAAAATGGAGCCCATTTTTGCTCGTTTTCGGTTTCTAGTGCCAAAGAGCCCCATGGGAAAACTCCGTTGGCCGCCATTTTCCCATTGAAATTTTCAGAAAATCACTTGTAACTTTTGATTAAGTTATCGGATCGCGCTGAAACTTTGGCATCTGGTTGTGATCTCTAGCTCTACCTTTAGGCGGAGAATGAGCGTTCGGCGATGCCTAGTTTATTTTTGCGGTAAAAAAGACCGTGTAAATTTTCTTTTGTGACACCCTGTATATATATCAGGGTGTCGAACCGGAACCGAACCGAACCGAAAACCGGAACCGAACCGGTATTTTTTCCGGAACTGAACCCGAACCCGAACCGTTATATTGTTATCGCGATGAACCCGAACCGGAACTGAACCGGAAAAAAAATAACGGTTACCGGCTCATGTCAAAACGGTTCGGCCACGCGCTGTTGACAATGAATGTGCTATCAATGCCATTTGTTTTTAAAGCGCCGTCAACTGACACACACCCTCGCTTACATATTTTTCTTCTCCACTCAGTCTTAGGAATATAAACGCTGCATCCATGAATCTTGACAAACGCTGCATCCATGAATCTTGACATAGGAACCAGTATTGCGCTGGTCGCGGCTTGCACGGAAGAAAGAGAATTGGAAAGCTGTGCAAAAAAAAAAAAAAAAAAATCGCGTCACGGGATTTTATTTTTTTACAATCTCGTAAATCCTAAATGCTGCTGTGTGCTCATTTCATAACACGTTTTTAGAACGCGCGAGTTCTTGAAGCTTGCTTCCATCGCAATGAGAAAAGAAAAGGCTGTGGAGTTTGATAATAATGCATCCGATTTCGTATAGGCACTTAGAAGCTAACATATTTGTGAGACAGCGAACTCTTCTATTTTAATATTTATCCTATTACGTCCTTCTGGCGTTGCGTTCGGTGAAGTGTTTTTTATATTCCGTATCTTGTTTAATGAAAACTTCTTTAAGGTTCTAATTTGAGTTACCGAAGGCTAGTTCAAATAAGAAAGCTGTATTTTCTCCCCACTGTTCCTTCAATTGCTTGCACGCCAAGGTGGCGGGATAGTTAGCGAGTTCTACTTGTAAGTGGCTTTGTAAGGAGGTCGCGGATTTTACAGCTACTGCGTCGGACCCAATTAGATGAAGTCCGAATGCGTAAACATCGGTGAGGTAACCTTTGAGTGCACATAAAGAAACCATTCCTGGTAGAAATCCCTGAGCCTTACACTACGATGTATCCCGTTTCGTATGTGCTGATTTCAGATGTTTTATTTGTAATTCATTTTGATGTTGCAATTTGTCATTTATAATTTCCGAACCGGTTCGCGAACCGGTTCGCGGATCGAATTAATCGAACCGGAACTGAACCGGAACAAAATAAATTTACCTGAACCTGAACCGTAACCGAACCCGTATTTTTTTCGGTTCGACACACTGATATATATATGAATAAAAACAACGATTTTGCACAAAAAATTATCTGTTAGGTACTTAAAGTATGTTTTGAGTTTATTGATAGTCGATTTAAATATGCTTCCAGTGTGTACGTGTTAGCGGTCGTTCTATACTCTATATGCCGTAAACGATTAGATTTTCGCGAATTTCTCCAATCGCCTACATTTCGCGAAAAAAAAAAAAAAGGTCCCGCGAACGATTCCGGTAAAATCTAAACACATTGGAATCTATATTGAGGTCCCACTGCGTCGCGAAAATTAGAACCCGCAAATTATTAAAAAGGTCCAGCTTTGACCTAAATTGCGAAACAAGTCGTTTACAGTATATTGAAAGTGCATCAGCATATCCGAAATATACTTAAAGCGTATTTCGGTTGTCTTATAAAAGTGAAACATTATTTTTTTGTCTCAACCGACGCGACACTGCAACCAAAGCTACGAGTTTCTCAACAGCTCGTAGCTTTGGATGGAAAGCATCGTAGAAAGTGCGACGAAGCAGTCTCTATCCTTTGAACGCGTCGAGCTTTGCCAACGGAACGACCAGGATTAAACGGACACCCCAAATGTACCGTCCAGAACAACGGCTAGATGGTCCCGAAAAGAGCCCAGGGCGAGATGGGGGGGACAACGAGGGGTAGGCAAGGGGGGGGGGGGGGGGGTGTCTTTCCGCGGTCGGACTGGGCCCGGACGGGAGGACGGCGTGCAGCTGCGTCACACCTGCGGCACCTCGTCACGGCGCCACACCTGGCCGCACCTGAGTCTGCAGCGCCGGCACGGACGGTCGTGCCTGACGTACCCTCGTGGTCGGGGCAACTTGATGCCGGCCAGTGGGGTGTAGCCCGTACACGAACACGCGGGGTCTCGGCCGTCTGTTGGGGCCTCGTTTTTTGTGGGCGGTCGGAGTGTCTGTGGTGTCGGGTTTTGTCAGCTAAAAATGCGTCTTCTTTTTTTTTTTGTGTGTGTGTGCGTGTGTTGCCGTTTGGGAAATGTCGGGCCCCCTTATGGCTGTGGCCCGTGGCTTGCTGGTGTGCTAAAATACCGAAAGGCGATCAGCGGGTGCAGTGATCCGTGAAAGAGGGGGTCATACTGGCACAATGCAGCAGATGGTATGGCAGCAGGATGGAGATATATAAAAAAAAGGGCACACATACACAATAAATTAAAGATGTTATCACGCATTTTTAAAAGCGCACAGCTGAAAAATCTGCCCATCGTTTGAACGCCTGAACCATTCGTAGCTATCTTGAGGTAGGCCACTTACTTACCGCGATTAGCAGCCGACAATTAAGCCCAAGAAGCGTTCAGTTAAAATAAGCGCGTGTCCCCGAGTGCTCGACAAGTTAGACCAAGATTAAGGGTTATTATATAATATACGTCGGTTCGTCGGAAGAACGTTACTGTACTATGTGGATTTGTGCTGAAGATTGCTTTTCGGGGTTCAGGCCTCAAGTGCCGAAGAATCACCTTTGTTTGCTGATGACTATGAGCATGCATATTGTTCATTGAGATGGTGCTGCGCTCTTGAAACCACCCCTTCTATTCGGTGCTAATCTCTATACTATTTCTAACTGGTGTCCGTCACCGAACACACTGCCGAACCAATTGGTTCGGCAGTGTGTTCGGTGACGGACATTCGTAACACGTCAGAAGGTAAGTCTTAAACGTTGTCGTGACAGATAGCATTTGTTTTATGCCACTTTTGGTAGAAGAACAACACTTTCCTAAGGTGATGAACAATGTAACAAAAATAAAGATGAACAAAATGAAGCTCAAGCAGACACGACGACACACTTTTCAGTCTAGGCGAGTGGAGCCTTGTGTCCGCCTTCAAACACATAGATGCGTCGGGTGGTGCAACCCACCCCTCAAGAGACGATAGCGGATCGAACTGCACCCGCACTCGAGTCTAGACCGAGGAAACAGAAGCAGGAGCATGCAGGGGGGCAGAGGCTGTGAACAACGCACCTCGCGCACCCACAGGTAAGGGGGGGGGGGGGGGGCTTCTCCCGCGCGTCCAGCCCGCAGCAGAAACAGCACGTGCGCGGCCACGTGTTCCCTCCACCTGTCGCCTGTTGACAGAGCCGCCCCCTCCCCCGTGCCCGCGCGGCCGCATCTCTCGACAACGGCAGTCTCCAGTAGAGATGCTCGCCGCCGCCGCCGTCCTATCCGCCCTGCTCGCGCTCCTGGCGCCGGCATCGCTCGCCGCGCCGGTCCAGGACCCCTCGTGGTCCCCGTGGTCGGCGTGTCGACGCTGCGTCCAGACGCGAGAGCGGCCTTGCCTCGAACCGTCGCGCTGCGGGGCCCTGGTCCGGGAGACGCGGACGTGTCCCTACCGACACTGCGGTCCCGCGCGGCTTCGGCCCGCTCGGGAGGCGTCGTCGCGGAAGCAGAAGCAGCCGGGCTTCAAGGTGCTTCATCACCTGCAGAGTCTCGTCTACTCGGACTGGTCCCGCTGGTCGCCGTGCACGAGCGAGTGTCGGACGCGCAGGCAGAGGGTCTGCAGGATGCCCATGGTGTGCGGCAAAGCGTCCCTCCAGGAGGACGCGCTGTGCTACGTGCGCGGCAGTCCCTGCGAAGTGCGCTACGCCGCCGATCATGCGGGTGAGCATTCCTCACTTCTTTGCTCGCATTTTGGGCGGCTAGCTATTGAAACATGAGGCACCTGAAAACTATTTTGGCGTTAACGAACTGGCGCGTAGGATGAGGGATGCGTGCGTCCCGGAGTCCGATGAATTTGAAAGGATTTGTACTAGGTCGTACTTGCAGGAACGCTATTAATGCAAGGAAGGAAAAGGGGGAAAAAAGGGGGGGAAGGACTCATCTGCATCTGTTTGTAACACAGATATTTGAGCCACGCGCCCATAACTGTAGAAAATGTAGAACAATCAATTTTTTTAATTATTTTTGAAGCAACATAATTTTACGCGCACGTTTAGTTTTAGACGAAATGGTAGAACATTAAAAAGCTTAAAAGAAGAACGCTACTTACCAGTGTTTTCAAGCGCGATGCTAAGCAATAAAAGAAACGAGGAGAGCTAATTGTGTTCACATAGATTAGATTGCTCAGTGTTTCTTTTCTGACCCTGTAAGTGCAGGCACAATTATCAAATTTGCTTTGATGATTGCGCGAAATCGTATTTTGCTTAGATGTAATATATAGTTAAGTTTGTCTTTTTTTTGTATTACTCACAAGCTAGGTGCAACGGTGGGAGACACAGAAAAGCTATTCTTTCCTAGCTTTTATTCGGGTTTTCTAGCATAATACTGCTGAAATGAATATACACAAAAGAACACAAAATGTATAGCGCCACAAACTGGTAAAAATAATTTACTAAAAAAAATAACCACAGAAAGTTCAACGCGATGGAAGTCAGAGGAACGGTGTTAAAGGGAGGAGTTTGAGGGAACCATTAGGGAGTGTTTCCCCCTCCGATAGCCCTCTGCTACGAAGAAACCGCCACTGCGCCTGCGCGCCGATGGCCTTGGCAGTAGAGTTCCGGGTAGCGGAGTGGCTTAGCGGAGCGGGAAACACGAGCGAGTTTTAGTAGACCGTGTTTCCCGCTCCGCTAAGCCCCTCCGCAACCCGGAACTCTACAACCAAGGCCATCGGCGCGCAGGCGCAGTGGCGGTTTCTTTTTTAGCGGAGGGCCAGCGGAGGGGGAAACACGGTCTACTAAAACTCCCTACGGTCTACTAAAACTCCCTACGGTCTACTAAAACTCGCTATTTGTTGCACGTCCGATACGGTACGATGCGCCCTCCGGTACGAACTGCGCATGCGCCACCGCAGAAGGCTCGCGCATGCGCAGTTCGTACCGGCCGTATCGGATGTGCAAAGATGGCCCCCTGAAACTCTCTATTGTCTGCGGACGGTCTTTTGTATAATGTATTAGCGGCGGGACCGCGGTTCGAGAGAACGTTCAACCGCTTTCCGAAAGTCGCACTTTGGAGCCGGTTAGAACTAGGCAGGCCGCTAAAGTGACGCGATACGCGGTCCTTGAGTGGCGAGGCGGCTTATCAGGGTCGAAAATACGTTCGCGTGGAAGCCCGCCCGTGAGCGCCCTTACACCACCAAAGGGAAAAGCCCAGGGGCCCTAATCGGCCTAATCTATACGACCACCGTAGTACTCCCGCCTGCTGGTTCGAGAGGTGCCGGCGTGGAGGGGGGGCTCAACGCCATCACTGCGCAGTTTACGATCACGGAAAGCTCGATACGGTGTCGCGGTGACTCTACGCATGAGATACGGACGAGATATGTTTTGGTTGCGCTCAGCTGTTGTCGCATGAAGTATAGATTTAAATGGTTTGGCTCCTTGTGAAACGTATAATCTATGACAGGAGGCTTCGAGAGTACGGTAATTTCTGAAGCACGCGTTTTGCTTGCCTTGCCCGAAAGATTATACTACTCAAGGATTTGTTGCAATCCATAAATATAAAAATATATACTGGCTGGACCATAAAAAAAAAAAAGGAGAAAGTTTTTCGCAATATTAATGCACTGCGCGATGCAGTTCATACGAGATTTGGTAGTCGAAGGAAGAAATGGAACTTTTGGCGTTTGGAACGGGCTTGTTTTGATAAATATAGCGTAAAGCTAATCTAAGATGCAGCTAATAATTAATTAATTGACAATACTTATTTCAACGCACGAAGGGGAAATTGGTAACATTCCGCGAGGAACCGGACCTCTTTTCTACGGTTCTTCAGATGAATGAAGTATAAGCAGAGGAAGGGCGTTCGTGAAGCGGTTATCTTTGTTTTCATTGAAAACGGTTTAGGGAAAGATTCGTACATAAATTATTGCAGTGGACCGAAAACTTGAAAACGAAAAAACAAAAACAAAAATCCTGCTTTCTCAGTGTCACAAGGGCCTACGATCGCCACACGTCGTACAAAAGCTCAGTACTTTCCAGCGTTAAATTGATGGCTACTTGCGCGTTCACGCTTAACGGCTTCGTAAGCGACAAGGGGATTCGTACAGTTTCTCTTATTTTACAGGCAGAGGTGCAGAGTTGACTTTTATAATCGTGTGCTGACGTTGAAACTTTCTGGGGGGTTTGTTTTCGCCTACCTGAGATAGGAACGTCACTTTTCGTGATGTGCATTTAAAATGATAGTGGTATTGCTTTGAAAAGTTCGAATGAGGCCCCCTTGGTACTCTTATTTACCTACCAAACATACATATTGGCTGCGTATAACATCGCTCAATTTTTTTAGCTCACATCATGAACTATAGTTGACATGATAAAAACAAAACAGCGCAAAGACAAGGACGAAGTAGAAGAAACCACAGGACATAGCGCTGCTAGCCCAAACTTCTACGTTAATCAACTATAGTTGACACTCGAACACTGATAAAGTTGGAACCTATCCGAGACTATAAAATGCTGATTTAGCGTACGCGAGCATCTCAAGGTTGTGGAATTTCCCTCGCGGCCACCCGGTCTCGGAGAATGACACAACGCACCGGTTCAACAACAACACGTAGTCATTCAGTGACTCCTATCGCCACGCGCCACGACCCAAAAAGCTCCCGCGCATAAACGCTGCGACAGGCTTTTATCAGCGACGGAGCGCCACTCGCGTTGCCAATTGCACTTGGCCCCCTCGCGGTGGATGTGACCACGGATGATTTGGCGAGCGGGCAACCTGGTCCAAAGCGTTGCGATCCCCCCCAGGTTGCCCACAAGGTGTACCTGCTAGCTTCTACTCGACACCGTGACATTTTTTTTCAGCCACTTTTAGGCGACAGCCGCTACCGGCAAGGTTTCCTGGCGGATCCCGGGTTTGTTTCGTGTAGAGCCGTGACGTCATGTGAGACTACGTCACGTGACGCTGAGACGTCACGAAAAAATGATTACCGCAAAATTTAGCGGTAAAAACTTTCCGTTAACTTTAACGGGACTTCAGCGTCACGTAACGTCACGCGACATGTCATGACACGTGACTTTCTAGTGTCACATAAATACCACTGTCCGCCAAATTCAAATTCGGCAATCTAACAATGTGCAGTACAGTGTGCAGCGCCTCGGCGATCTCCGTATAGTTCCTTTGCGAGACACGTCCATGGAGTCGGAAAACCTTTTGTTTAGCCTCGTGACGCCCACCCACTCCCCCATTTACAAACGGGTGTGTCTTCTTATTGTTTTTAAATATATATATATATATAAACAGAATAAGATAAATAAATTTTCTGTTTCTTTTCCGCGACTCAGGATCCGAAGAGCCGCCGGAGACCGTGAGCGGCGACAGCCCGCTGTCCTGCGGAGTGCCTCGCAGCAGCACCAGGCCCGCCCTTCGCATCATCGGCGGACGGCCCGCGGCCAGGGGACGCTGGCCTTGGCAGGTGCGTTCGGGGCTTTCCTACGATTGCGAGTCTAATATGCGTTCTTTTTATACCCCGTAATTGTTCGGAAACCAGCCCCTTTCTAAAGTACGCGCACACCCCAAGCAGTTCCCTAGAAGAGCGAAACGTCTACGGTTAGCGCAATCGACGTTTCCTGACAGGCATCCGGTTTGAAACGACTGGTAATGACAGAAATTCGGCACCCACTGAAGTGGACGCGCGGTTATAAAACCGAACGCAAAATATAATGGTAATGAAGCATCGGCAGAAGTACATTCCCCTTTTTTGAAAAGCAAGGCCGCGCAGAAATTAACACGTAGATACATTACATTCCGTGCGTCTTTGTACAAGGTGGTGATTATGTTTAGAGTTCAGCGTTTTAGGTTTAAACCGAAAAGAAATCGATAAGAGTCTGCCAAATTTGTTTTACCGCATTCAGTTTTAACCGAAAGAGGTCAGTTTCTTCAACCGTGGAATGCGGGGGGGGGGGGGGGGGGGGGGGGGGGGAGGGAGGCAGGCAGGTTTGGGAATGGGTTTTCTTAGTACCTTGCTGTACGACGCTATATGTTTGATCGCCGTTCGTTTTTGGAATGCTCTTCTCGTCTGACGAAGCGCTCGCTACTATTCACATGTTTACTTACAACGTGATGTCGTACCTAGTAAATAAGGGGCACAAAAAGGGGGGGAAGCGCCACCACCGGAGTTCGCCCAGGGTGCTTGGTGGTGTAGGGCCGGCCCTGGTGGTACCGGTTGTCCTTTGGTGATCCCGTTTGGTTGACTGGCCACCATTAGGTAATGCGGCGCTTCGCCTCCATAGCTTGCCTGTTTCAAGTGTGAACGTTGAGAGGGAATTATCTCAACTTAGGGTGATAAACAGGACAGAAAGGGTGCGTATTAACGAAAAAAAAAAAAAAAAACCTGGGCAAATACATGTGTGTGGGTGCTACAATCAAACTGAGTAATCGTGACTTGATTGGAAGTGAAATCTACGGTTGCTGTGTGGACCAATATTTTACTCACGCGTATTTTGAGTGCGTGTTTCTTAATTCCTGTTTCAGTTTGATGAATAAACATGCCATTTTTTTTCTGACACTTAAAGTCATTTTATGTTAACAGTGTTGAAACTGGAATATATATTCACCGAAAAAAAGTGTTTAGCTATATATTTTTTTCATCGATAAAAAACAAAAAAAAAAGATAAAAACCGAACATGCTGAACTCTATAGTTTATACAGTATACATAGATGTGACCACTACAAAAATAGTTTACATGAACGCTTCTAACACATTTCATTGCCGTCTTGTGAACTCAAACTCACTTGACACTGGGAGTGAAGCATGATCCCCTCTTAACACTACCGCCACATAAAAACGCAAAGAAATACCTTAAACAAGAAATCTCAGGTCGCCGTTCAGTGAGATACATTGTATAAAAAATTTTTTATCGTTGGCTGTATCTCAAGACTCAACCCTGTCCTCCTCGCAGGTGGCCGTCCTGAACCGTCGACGCGAGCCTTTCTGCGGAGGCACCCTGGTCTCTGCCGGCTGGGTACTCACGGCTGCCCACTGCGTGCGCCGACGCCTCATCGTGCTCGCCGGCGAGCACAGCCTCCACCGACGCGAAGGCTCGGAACAAGAAGTCCGGGTTTCTCGCACCGTGCTGCACCCAGACTACGACCCGGAGACGGTGGACATGGATCTGGCCCTCCTGCGCCTGCGCAGTCCGCTCCCCATGGGGGCCTTCGTGGCGCCGGCCTGCCTCCCGGAACCCGGCGACACACTAGTCCCGGGAGCCATGGCAACCATCTTGGGCTGGGGCAAGCTGAACAAGCGGCACGCCAACGGATCGGACCTCCTGCACCAGGCGCAGGTGCCCGTGGTTCCGGCCCAGGACTGTCGAGACGTCTACGCCGACTACCTGATCAGTGAGAACATGCTCTGCGCCGGGTTTCGACGTGGCCGCGTCGATTCCTGTGCTGGGGACAGTGGCGGTCCGCTGCTCGCCAAGGACCGTCACGGGCGGTGGACCATCTACGGGGTCACCAGCTTCGGCGAGGGTTGTGCACGGCAGGGACGCTATGGCATCTACGCCAAAGTGGAAAACGCGCTGCGTTGGATCCGGAGGACCATTGCCGAGAACTCTTAGTACAGCGCTTCTTTGTCGCGCGTAAGACTGCCGAAGGAGCGTGCTGGCGCGTTTCTAAACGGACGACTTTGGCTACAGCCATGAGTCAGAACGTACGGATGGATCATCCGGTGAATGTGCACGTCTTCGAGCGATGCTAGGGTGCTGCCCTCAGCGGCCCAGCACAAGCACATCGACTCCGAGCACTCGCTCGTCGCCAGAACGTGATCATCCCCAAAGACTTTCCGCCGGAGTCGGCATCACCAAGTGAAAGTATCAAGTCAGCGTGACTTTGTATAGAGCGTCAGATGCACATATACAATTTGTAAAGAAGTGAAGTTACTTTTCGTCATATGATTGAAATACGACGAGGAGCGCCGTCTTATGCCCGTTTTTTCGGGTAGGTGAGATATAGATTTATTGAGCTTGTCCCGCGATATTGTGTAACTAAGACCAAAGGAAAAAGGCGCCTTAGTCGGAATAAAAACGCCAAAGGATAAATGGCCAGACCTCTGAGCACTATAAGAGCCAATGAAATGTCTCTATTACCAGCTAGAGCTTGGCGAAAATCGGAAGACGACGACGGTTCCTAGCTTTCACCAGGGTTGCCATGTCGGCAGAGTACAAAAGTGTAAATAAAAGTCTTTACAATCGCAGAACTCGGTGACTCCAAGTAACGTTATTTACCGACAAACAAACAAGTTTCATTTAGGTGACAGTCTCAAAAACGTACATGGTATAGTTATGGTTGCTGCAATAACACCTATTTGTACCTTATTTGTACTTAAAATATTGGTGCAATTTGCACCAATATTGTAGCACTCGGATTCAAGATGTAAGAATTGTATTAGACATTTATATTAGAGATAAAAATTCGGGGTTATGCTTTCTAAAGTCATCCGGAGGTAAGTTGAAACACGTGTCACAAATGATGCTCCAGAAAGGACACATGTCGTCTACATGGCGAACTGCGGAGAGTACGAGACGCATTTCGAACAAAGATAAAAAGATGAAACATCTGATGAGAAAAATGCGAAGTTGTCGGATGCAAGCAAAATATTAACGCGACACGTTAACAAGAAAAGCTCTGCGTATGTGCGTGTTGCGGTATCAATTCGCCCTTTTGCGCTTGGCAACAAACTCAGTGGCGCCATCTACTGGGTAGCCCCGGCACACCTCAGGTTCACGAATATTTCCCAATTCTTTACTCACCACTTTTTTTTATCGTAAGAGTGAATTAAGTCTTACAGTGCTATAAGTGACTATTTCCAGAAAATAGGATGCGTATTTGATTTTGCAGATACTGCAAAACCCGCTGTCTAGTTCATAACCGGAAGTGGTGGAGGGCTATTTGCACACTGGCGCCACCACGTTTCAAGTCACGCGTGGAAGAGCGAATAGTTATCAATTTCGACCTCAACGGTCATTAGAGAGGGAGAGAGAAAGAGAGCGAAGGGGATTTAATGACGACGCATCACGGGCATCGAAATGACCGGACGCTTCCAAAGTTTTTAAAGCTCAGACCGTCACGCCTCGCCTCTTGTTTCTGAGGTTCGTGGCAGAACGAGGTTCAGCGGTGTTCATAGTTTTCATTCGATGACGGGCCACTGACTTCGGAATGATGAAACGTGCTCGAAGATTTAAAATACCGACAGTCATGCGTCGCCATACTTGTTCTGTACAGATTCGCTGCTGAGTGAGTCCGAGTTTAGCAGATCTATACAGAACGGGAGGGGGATAGAGGACACGCGGAACGAGGCTTCTTGTTGGCCGTTTTTCTTTTTATTGTAGGAAAAAAGAGTCGAGAGAGAGTCTGTGAACATGCAGCGCAACAACGAGAAATGGCGTTCTTCTGTACACTGTGGGGGGCAGGCGGGGCCGCGGGGAAGGCACGGGCGCCGCTTGCATAGACGGGGTCGTCTTGCGCGGGGAGGGGGCGGGGCCCCCGTTGCTCCCGGGTCGGGGCTCCAGAAACTGCCGGAGAGGCGGCGCCTCAACTCGCCGAGCCTGGTCAGGCTGACGGGGCCAGGACCCGGAGGCCGGCCGGGCGCGGGTTCCGAGACAGAAGACCTGCGACCGATCAGGCAGTTCAAAATGGACGGCCGTGTGAACGTGGGGGCACGCTGGAAGAAGGGAGAGGTGTCAGGGCGACGCCGCTTCACCACGGGGCAAGCGTGTCGAAGGTTCACTCCCATTTCTGACAAACGCCGCGTGATGGCGCAGTATGGCAGGAGCTTGATTAACTGTCCTTATTGGCGCACACGTCTCCGAGGCTGCGTGGCGGGCGACGGCGCTCAGGCGCAACAACCCCAACCCGGAAGCGCCCCCGCCGGGAGATGTGCGAAGCCCGACTAGAGTTTCGACCCCTATTGCTGGCCTGGTTCCGACCAAAGTCCCTCGATGCTTCTGTTTACAAGTACCGACAACGAATGACGAAGCGAATTCCGTAGGAACAAAATAACTACATGCAGTTCGTCCCTCTGTTGTGCGCCTCCACTCAAGTCCTATATTCTGCACCGCCCTGCGTTCGGCACTTCAAAGAATGTCGCTACTCGCAGAAACCTATTTCCCAGGAACTTTAGTTCCGACACCTCTCTCTTCCTCCACCGTGCGTGCATATGGGTATGCGAACAGTGGTTCGAATCGAATGCGCGTAACTTCGTCTGCTTCTTTTGCAGGGCTTTAGGCACTTTGCAGGGTAGTGGGCAGGGCTTTAGGCACTTTGCTTCGAGATCTACCCACTATCCTTCCAATCAGAGCCAATCAGAGCTTGGCGTTCTGAGGTCACCAGAGCCTCTGCAAAGGAAGCAGACGAAGTTGCGCTCCGCAGCAGTCTCATCTCGGCTTCAACACGGCTAAGAAAACCGTTTGTCGTCACTTTTCCTCGCACTAAAAGTTGCGAATGACGTAGTGCTATCCGATTCCGACAAGCATTCGCACACCTCTGTACACCGTTTCAGCAAGTTCAATCGCAGCCGACGCTACGAAGCGGCGCCAAAAGTACATCGTCACGGGGCTCCTTGTCATCACGTTGTTAGTAAACACGCGAGTAGTGGCCCAACCCGACCGTTTTGTCAGCCGAGAACCGCATTTCAAAACTTGCAGCTTTTCCACTTTCGTGAAGAAGGAAGAGCAGCAGAGCTGGGGTAGCTTTTATTCTCGGCGGTGGCTTTCCAAGCGACCAATCTGCTCTTCTTTCGCAAGGGAATCTGAAGCGCTCGACACAGTGGAACTTTAAGCGACAGCGGCCTCGCGGCGGTTCCGGAACCATTCGCGCTGCTGCGTACATCGCCGCTCATTGCGTTCCCGCTCTTCTACCTCCGAAGAAATGTTGTCGCCATCTAAGGGCGACGGCAGCAACCATTTGTCTGTTTGCCGAGGCTGGAAAGGTTGCCGCGATCTATGAGCGACAGCGGCAAGCAGACAACCGGCAAACACAACACTCTGGACAGCTACTGCCATCTATGAGCGACGGCGGTAGCCAGAGTGTTGTGTGGACCACGGGTGTCGACATTTGTTTGGTACCGGACACGATCCTAGGGAAACTAGCCTTTAACAGCTCTGCTGTAAAAACCAAAAAATATATAAAAATAACTACGAACAAATCCAATTCAATAGGGGGCGCTGCGGCGCTCCCCCCTCTTGCCCCTCTCCCTTATCGATGGCGCCCTGAGCGACCGCTTAGGTCGCCCACCCCTAAAGGCCCTTTCACACTTGCGACAGTCGCTGGAACGACCAGCGACTAGCGACTGGTTTTTGGTCGCGGAGCGACCAAAACAGGTCGGTAGCGACCGATTTTAGGCAGTCGCTCCCTGACCGATTTCTCAAGTCGCAAAACCGAGTCGCAGGACGGCGGAGCCAATCAGAGTCTCGTCGGAAGTTATGTGTGCGTTTGTTTACATCCGGCACCGCTTCCTGCGGGAAATAGCGACGCGCGCACGGCGGCGGTAACTGGCATGGAGTTCTCCGCGGACTATTTGTTTCTTTACAATAAGCGGCACCCCAACCACAAGTATCGGGGCAAAAAGCTGCAGGCCTAAAACGAGATCGGCGACATTTTCGGCATGGCAGGTACGTACAATATCAAGGTTGAGGGACCTGCGTCTGTTTACATCCACCGCGCACATATAGCCGTTGTTTTACGTTCCGAAGCACCATTACGTCTTATTTTTTTTCCTTGCCGGCACCTTTGATCAGAAAAACCTTTCAGCCGGATCGAAAGGTGTTGATTATTATCCGTTAAGTTGGCAGTGAGCCTGGCGACTCGTCGGTCGCTCAATCAAGTGTGAACACTGGTGGTCGCCAGTCGCTCGTCGCTAGTCGCTCCAGCGACTGTCCCAAGTCGCAAGTGTGAACGGGCCTTAAGACCGCGGAGCTGGGTACGCTTTCTCCGGCTAAACCACTGACGCAAAGAAAACAGAATCGCATAATCATGGTGCAATCACTTTGCGTGACTGGTTCGGTGGTAGGAAACGAACAAAGGCAACAAGTGACAATGCATTTTTGGCGCTGTTCGATTGGCTCCGTGCGATCGTGGCGTGGCGCTGCGGTTGGACTTAAACCGAGACGGAGTACACACTCTTTTTAAGCGCTTGTCACCCGGACAAAAAATGCCGAGTCACCACGCTAGGCTCTCGGCAACAGAGACACCGCTACTGTGCATGCGCGCAACTAGCCTCGTCCGCAGAATTCCGAATCTCCTAGCCTACATGCGACGAGAAGACTTGGGAATTGCCACCTGGTGGAATCTTTTTCACAACCCAGAGCGAGGATCTAGTTCAACCTCCTCCGCTGGTGCAAGCACGTGCAACACCAAGCTTGTATGCACCGCGAAAATTGAAACAAACTGCGTGGATAGCAGGTGCACATACAAGCGCCCCCTCGCGAGCTTCTCACCGTGAATACCTCGTTTCAGCGCACGTCCCTGCAATCAATAAAAGTTTACTGCTCCTCCTCCTCCGACGCAGCTGACGCTGCGAGGTAATGGTACCAATGAAACAACTTCAAAAAGCTCGAGTTACTGGACCCTTTTGTCTTAATGATTGGTCCAGCGATGATAGAACGCTTAAAGAAGCACGACGAACACCATGACGCATGTAGGGCTTTTAACGCTGTCTGTTTGGTACCATCAGCTCGTAGCGTCGACTGGGTCTGAACTAAAAGATGAAATTATAAAATAATCTAAGCTCGTAAACAACGTCCCCAAGCTCTAGGTAACCTTGTCACGATAGGATGGCGCCACGTCGGCCATTGGGCCCGTGCCCGACGCCGAGTGTGGCCTTGACTGGACGTGAGGCCCGGCGGAATGCTTACGCAGCGCTCGTGTCCCTTCACTGCCTTCGCACGACCTCACCGCGATGACGTCGAAGTGCTGGTGAACGGGTTTTGATTTATCTCTACTCGTATTCACAGCAAGAATCGTAGGAAATGAAGTTAGGCTCCTCGCGGGACATTGCTGATTTCCCCCTTGGTGTCTTGAGTTACGATCTGCGCAGGGGCATCTTAGATTACCTTCACATTGTTTCATTACAACGTACATGTTTCAAACGCCACAAACATCTTCCTCGGAAAAACTAATCTTGTAAGAACTACTTATGAAGCGCACGGAAATGCGCAACGAGTATCGACCAACACACCGTTTACAAACAAGCCCGCGGTTGACCGCACAGGGTGTAGGCAATGAACCAGATTCGCACGAGGCGAAACATCTGCGCATGCGCAGTGCCGACAACAGCGCCACCGCACTGTCGTTACGTCAGAGAGTTGAGTTCGTCTGTAGGTTGTGTTGGTTGCGCAGAGTGTTGCGGGACAGCGACAAGAGTATGCGAAAACTCGCAAATATGGAGCTGGAGGTATACGGTATACCTGGAACGCGTCTCCTGTTGGTGTGTTTACCGCGTCTAAGAAAGCGGTCCCTCGATGTTTGCCTGATGACGTCATGAAAGTGTCATGCGCTCGCTGTTTGTGACAGACGCCTGTTCTGCTCCGTGTCGCTCTCCTATGTCCACAAAGGCTTCGGCAGCTAGAAGTTGGGACGCCGCGACGACAGCGACACTCGCATTCGCTCGTGATTTTCGCCAGCGTTCCTACGACCAACCACCAGGATCGCGACATCCGCCAGCATGACACTTCGGCTTCAGTGACGTCATTCGTTGCCACTTCGGGACCACTTTTGATATGTGGGCGAGATAGGACGCTAAACACACCAGTCGGAGACGCGCGCTCCAGTCACCATACCGGAGCGAAGGGCGCGGTCAAGCGCGCGCTGGAGCGAGACGAAGGAAGGGCAGCTGACCGGCGCTAGCACCAGTCGTCTTCGTCGGTGTCGCTTCGGCGATGCGTCCTCCGAAGCCGGGGCTTGTAGCCGTTGGGCAGCTGCGGCGACGGCAGCTGCCTGGGCTGCTTGGCCAGGCTGCGCGTGGGCGAGGCGTTCACCTTGGGGAAGTTGATGGAGCCCGGGGAGCGGGCCCCGCCGGGCAACGTGGGCGACTGCGACACGCTCGGGAAGTTGATGCCAGCGTCCATCGAGCGCGCATCCAGGCGCAGCGTCGACGGCTTGGCCGGCGTCGGCGGGAGCCGCCTCCGCTGGGCGGGCAGGCTGTGCGCCGACGCCGCCGGGCTGGGCGACCGCGACCGCTGGGCCAGCTGGCTGCGCCCGTAGTACTCGCTGGGGCCGGCCGCCGGGGGCCGCGGGCTGGGGGACGGACTGCGCGACCGCTGGCCCAGCCACGTACTGCTCCGGTACTCGGGCGAGTGGCGGCCACGCCGGGACGGGGACCGGCCCCGCAGGGGGGACTCGCCCGCCCGCAGGAACTCGTCTCCGTGCAGTCGCGCTGTGGTGGGGGAGCAGAGCGCAGTGAGGACGCACGAGCACGCTTCGTAGGCATTATTTAACAGACATTAGCTAAGTACAAATATAGTGCCGCCTCTTCGGATAGACGAACATCACAGCGAACAAGAACTGGAAAGAGAGGGGGGCCAGTGGGTACGGTGCACGAGCTTGGACCACACAGACAATGATCCCGAAAGGTGTAAAGAAAGGTGAAGGAAATGAAATGTGACTCGATAACAGAAAGTTTTATAGTAGGGGACCCCAAGGCTTCGGCGAACCTGAGCAGCTAGGGCGTCGCACAGAGCACTCGCCGAACGTCTCTGCGTGCGCAGTGCGATCCCGAAGCTGTTCAGGGGACCCCTTGGGGCCCCCTATTCTATAACTCCCTATTAAAGTAAGTGTATCTATCAAATTGAAGTTCACGACCTCGAAGGAGTGATCCTCACCTCTGGCGCGTCCCCTGCGACTTGTCTCGTACTTGACAATGTCCACTAGATCGCTGACGGCGTCCGAGAAGCCCGCCGCAGATCTCCGAGGCGACGGTGACCTCCGGATGGGCGTCGCACACCGGCTACCCGGCGGAGACGGCCCCAGGGCGATCGAGTCCGGCCGCAGTCGCATCGAGTCCACGCGCTCCCCGGCTCGCCGCCCCGTGCCCGTGTCCCCCGCCGCCGCCGCAGCCGTCGCCCCATCCTCGGCCGTGGCCGCCGCGCCGGCCTGCGCGTCGCCCCGGGGCGTGAGACCAGCAGCCACGGCGTGCAGCCGCGCTCACGGCGCGGCCCGTGGGGCCCACGCAACGCTCGCCACCAGACAAGACACACGTCGATCAGACGACTTTTCAGCGTGGGGGACAACAGGACGACGCCCTTGCCAAAGCGTGCAAGTGACACGCAGCCAGCTCTCACAATGTGCACCACCACCGAAGGCTCGTCCAAAAAGCCGGCAGTCATCGCAGCGTGCGTCGGATAGCCCTCTGTCCGAGGGCGCGGCCTCGCGGAAGCCGCGAGCGTGTGCCCGCGCACGAGCGGGCGCGCCTTCGCGGAGCACCGCGCGCCGCCGTCGGGAACGCCAGGGGTCACGTTTCCGAGGGCAGACGCGCTGCTCTCGACCGGGAACGTCCGGCGGTGCCCTGCCGCGAGACAACCATGGAGCGGCAGACGCCGACCAACCAACACCAAAGAGTGGGCAGTCCCGAGCACCGAGCTGTTCTTCTCGAGCCACCCTCGGTCTACGGGGATGTGGCTACCGGGACGCAGTCGTCCCAGGAAAAAAAAAGTAGGCAGGGACGGGCCCTGGTGCCGGCGCTACTTGCTCAGCCTAGGGGGACTCTAGATCCGCCCGGGCGAGGCGAGAGCGCGGTCGGGGACTCGGGGTCCGTGCGCTCGCCGCTCCCCAAGGGGACCGAAACAAGAGGCAGTCGCTGGCTGCAGCGGCTACACCGAGGTGCTGTGGGCGTGGGGACCCGGACGGGGTCCGTAGCGGGGGTGGACGACGTCGAGACAGTCACACACGCGCGCAAAGGAACATGCAGGTCGTGCTCGTGCGCATGCGACGGGAGCGTGCGGGCAGGCAGGCGGGCCCTGGGGCGGGGGGGACAGGGTGCCCCGGCGTCAGACCTGGAACGCTGCCGACTTGTCCAGGGAGGCCGGTGGCGGGGCCTGCGGGGGCAGCGGGGGCGGCTGGGGAGGCCGCTGCCGACGGCTGCTGCCCCGCCGCAGGAAGCTCAGCGAGCGCTGCCAGGGCTTCTCCTGGCCGTTCTGGGATCGGTCGATGCTGCGAGGTGGGACGCGCGATTCGCTTTAGGTCGCGTGCTCCTGCATAGGCACCAGAGCTGGTGACGACCTAACCTATACCAAAGCGTCGCTGCGTGGTTTCACTATCGTCAGTGACACGGTGAAAACGGCAGGGCCTTTACTTCGAACGCCCGGCACCCAGCACCCGCCCGTTGCTCTCCACCGTGCTTTGGCTGCACGAGCACGCTCGAGGCCTACGAGACCCCGAAGTGTCATCGAAGGTAGGAAGCTCACCCTGGACAAGTAAATGATCTCCCTGCCGTACTTATCCTGTCGGAGACTACAGCTTACCTAAAGGCTGGTTCACGCGGCACCTTTTTGTTTACAGTAGATGTAAATCGTCGAAACCGTCGACATGCCTTGCCTTTCTCATCCTTTCAGTGACCATGTGATGACGTTAGAAGAGGGAAGGCTCAAGCCTTGTCTCTTAGGTGGGATTGGCCGTGCCGTTGTTTTTTTCTGAGCGATTTATTTTTATAATGGCACGACGGCTGTTCCGTAGGGACCATCAGGGTCCCTGCAAAGGAGAAAGGGCAGGTCCCTCTTGTTGCTCGAGGCTAGGCATTAAGTATTTGAAACCCCGAGGCTTGGCAGCTCCGGCCGGAATGAAAGTATACTAAAAAATGTTGTAAAACCAAATGGTAAAAACTACTTTGGCACTGTCAAAAGTAAGCGCCAAAACTCATAGGCGCTCGTTCAAGAAGGCGGGATTGCATAAAAGCAGTAATTCGACGAGGTGGGTAGACCTGCTTGAGACAAAATTAACAAGATTCTATTAAAGAACTGTCTCCTCGGAAGGAGTGGCGAGACTGGCACTTGACGTGTAAACACGCGGACCTAACTTTGTTTCTTTTCTGTTTCACGTCGGCCCAGCTGTTACTGAACTACAAATAGTGCGCTTGCATGCCATAAATAAACTGAACAGACAAGGACATTTAGAAAAAAAATTTTTTTAAGAGAACATTAGATTCTTCCTTAACTGTTTAGCCATCTAGCGGCGACGTTTCAGAACTACGCGCTGACACTAAGGGTGGCCCCTCTCGGCCGCCGTTGCAGTGATATGATTGGTTCAAGTCATTTAGAGACGCCTTTTTGGTGTAGCCAAATGTGCATTCTGAAGAAACAATGAAAGGCATTGGTGCACAAGTGTCTACTTTATTCTAAATCATTTCAGTGCAAATACTTCAGGTGAGTGCATCATTGGCCTTTCAAGTTCCGGGCAACTAATGTTTAGCATCCAGCTCAAAACGTAATGAAACTAGAAAGGTAATTTAATTCCTCACATCAATGGCGTTTTACACGAAGCATTAGAAATTCAGTAAAATCAGCATGTGGACGACAAATATGCATTTAGCAAATCCAGTTGTCATCAATGAGCTTACTCTCAAGCCTTCATTCCAGCGCAAAGTTTCCTTCGTTTTTAGTTTTCGTTGACTGTGCCCTCGAGTAGTTGGGCCTAATCGTATAGAGGAACGCACTAAGCATAAATATCAAACATACGCGCAGCCAAGTTATACCTTATTAAGGTTAATAATCGATCCCCTCTACGTCGTCCCTCGTCCCACCTGTCTTATTCTTTCGGTGTCCCTAGACGCAAAGAGTGTAGCTTCTCTGCACATTTTTTGAGTTCCTGGTGAGAAGCGCACTCAACGGAGCCAACGAGCTCGCTCGAACGAACTACGAACGAGAAACATCGCGTGCTTCCGAACGCTTATCGTGTTCGATACTGTGGGTTTCCCCTTTGGGGGTACCACGTAGAAACACAGTAGGTTCCTTGGGTCCGGATAGTAATGTGTTTACTGACCAACATGCCACACGTTTGCCCGAGGGCCAACAAAGTCCCAGATAACGGCGCTCTCTCTTTCGACAGCCTCACCACTCGGAGTCCGTGCTGCCGCTATTGACAGTATCATGGAAGGGGACGGGTCAAAGCAGGAAAGGAAGGCTCCGTCAAGCAGAGCCTCCCCCAGCGGGAGTTGCTCCTGGCCGTTGATTTTAGCCGTCTTATATAGCCTGCGGGAATGGATGCGCCCGGGGTGGTCGGATGTAGGTTGGCTCCCTGGTGGGGCGGACGCGTCCAAGTACCAAGATCCCGAAGGGTGTGCCCTTGGCAGATCACCCGAGAAGGGCGAGGAAGAGCCGTCCGCAAGGGAATAAGGCCTCGCCTCGCATCAGGGACGCGCTCCGACGTGGCGACGCCCCACGACCTGCCTGAGCTTGGCCTAGATAGGCATGCGGGGAACACGTGGTTCCCACAATACAAAGACTGAATTGAAAAGCTCCATTGGTGGATCTTTGGGGATTGCGTTACAAAGAACCTTGGAAAACGTCACAGACGTTCTTTTTAAGAAAGGGTAACACTGACCCCTTAACCTTCCCATTTTGGCTTTCTCGTTTGCTTCCATTTTTTATGCCCATTTTTTGGTTTCGGCAAAGGTGAGTGTTGGCGTTTCTGAAAAGGGCACGTGTGTGGCGTTTTCCAAGTGTCATGCTATCGCATTCCTTAAGGATTCACCAATAGATCTTCCTTCGATTTTTCTGCCGCCCACTTCGATTAGTACTTAATTCACACTCTATATTGTGGCACAAACCAGGGCATACGAGCTCCGCACACATGGAAGTTCAGACTCTTTCCAGCATCCGCGCGCGCATTTGCTTCCGGCCCGTGACGTCCGACTCTCTCCCTCTCGCCTTTGTCCTTCCCTATTCCCCTCCTCTTTGCGCGGCGCGCTTCCCTCTCCACCGTTCTGTCCACAGACGGTCTTTGTGAGCTTTTTCCTGTCATGTGGGTACTTATGCTAACGCATTAATACTACTTTACTCTAAGAGGCAGTCGAAAGTTTCGAAAAGTTGCACGAGCAACGACACGGCAGTGTAGCGTTGCTGAGCTGTCAGTTTTCGTAAGATGAAACCAGCTTACGGCGCTGTGTCGGGAGAAATTCCTCACACTTGTTTTTCCTTGACTGATAGCAGGACGCAGCAGTGTAGGTCCGTTGGCCCAGCCTGGCGCTATACTCAGCACTGCGACGCACGCATGTGCAAGAGCGTTCAATCCGAGCCGGAGGTGTCGGCCATTAGATTGCAAACGCTCTTCATGGTATGAACCGCTCCCTCTCTCAAATATAGGCTTATAGGACGCATAGGGTATAAGTCCCAGGTGCCCTCCGAGTGGCTTAGCAAATATAAAAAAAAAAAAGCCACGCTCTCAGCCGCTCGCATTTCATTGGGGCCTGGTTGTACCCTGCACGACGCAGCTAACGGGCACTAGCGTTTACCGTTTTTTTTTTAAATGTTCCTTTTTAAGTTTAAAGCCACTTTCGCACTGTTAAAGCGTCATACAAAAGAAAGTCTACAGACACTATGAGGCGCGTTTCCTTCTCGTATGACCGTTGTTTCGTTGGTCATCCAAAAACTGCCCGTAGACACGTTCAAAACATACCTATGTATGATGTCAACATGAATTGAACATGCTTGCGGCGTGTCCAGAGATCATTCAGTCATCGTGACTACAGCGAACACCGTGACATTTGAATAACGCAAGAGTGGTGGGACTCCGGCCTTAAGGCTGTCGTCAAAACCGCTCTGACGGTAGAAAATGCTCACTTAGGAATCCAACCTAAGCGGTAAAAAGTACGTTACCGACGATAAACTTCCGAAATAAAACAATAAAAAATGAAGAAGCTGTCGATATCGGGTTTGCGCCAAAAGTGACACCCAGTGAACGTTCCAAAGTGGCCTCGTTTTGGCCACCAGCCGGGTAGCCGACTTGGCGTGTCTATGTTTCAAAGTCTTTGCACTGTGCAATTGAGATTACGTGGTTTTGAACACCGCGTTTGGTAATATGAGCTGTGAGGATGTGCCAAAAAATTTTGGATCGTCTGCAAGCGTCTTTTCCTCCACGCTCTCTTTCCTCCTCGCCACGTTACAACGCAAAGCATGCGCACTTGCGAAAACAAAAGAAAAAACAAAGAAAAAACAGGAATGAGTCGGTAGGCTCGTAATGTTCGTCTGCCTTTGAGGTATGGCGATGCTGGTTTACGCTGTCGATGAGAAGACATGTTGCCATTTCAGACCGCTCGCTACAGCACGAGATATTCGACGTGCCCGTAATGATACACGACTACACGCTTGTACGATGCTTCTCCAGATCGAAACAAGCTAGGGTCTCTGGGCCTGCAGCGCGAGCTCTTGCCCTTCCACGAGCTCCGAGCTGGGGTACGCTAACACACTTGGCCATCATACACCCCCTTCGACCAAAATCCGCGGGAAGCATCCGCCATTCCATTGCAAGCGATTCCCACGGTTTGAATTGCTCCTTCTCGTAAATATAGGCTCTCTATACTCAGCTCCTCCATAGGTTCGACCGCAGCCAACGTTTCCACCCGATGGATTTAATCAAGCAGCGCTAAAAGTGCAGAGTCATGGTGCTTGCCGCCTTTGTGCGTTTTCTATTGCTAAGGGTTTCTCACCTCAGGCTGGACCTGTGCAGCGACCCGTGCCTGGACGGCGCCTGCAGGTGTCCGTCGGCGTCGTCCAGGTGTCCCTCCTCCTGGTTCAAGCTGCCGTGGCTCGCCCGGGTGTTGGAGTTGCGCACGGCGCCCATCAGGCGGCGCAGCAGGGAAGGGCGCTGCGCCGCCACGAGGCGCCACCACCCGACACACACGTCACGCTGCCGCCCCCAGCACAGCACTTCCCCGACGCGCGACAGGAACTAGCCTTATCCTGGGCCTTCACCTCCCCCGGTGGTGCTCGAGCAACGCGCCCGACGCGGTCCGGTAAGCTGTTGCGTTCCCACGTGCGGCGTGCGGTGCGGCGGTTCGCGTCGTTCTCAGCTGTCCGTAGCGCGTTTTGTGGGAGCTGAACGGCGTGTTTTCTTGCAGAGAATTACGAAGATTGAACAGCGGATGATATTTCGATAGCCAGTTACCGCAATCGCGTCCTTTCCCATTCACGTATCTATTTGTCGTCTGAGCATAACTCGGCAAAGAGCGATCGCTAGGAGCACTCGGAGAGCCAGAGAGGCAAAGGGAAGCACGTGACGGCTTCCTGCAGGAGGATTGCACTCCAACAATAGGTGCCACGTGCCTCACTCCTACGCTCCGATTGGCTCACTGGGGGGCGGTATCTTTCTGTTTGCCACCATGAGGCCTTCCCCATGAGCCACCAGTCCTCGGCGGGTTTCGCTGCCCCTTACCGTGAGCATTTTCTTTTTTTCTTGACTACCCGCGGGGTGGAAGACGCCCGCATCTGGTTGCATAGAGGAGACTGCAGACAAGGATTGTTACAGTCCAGAAGTAAAACAGCAACAGTTTACATCTTGTACCAGATGGCGTTATGTAGCCACCAAGCAGTCTTTTTGCAAATGTTCGCCTAGGCGGTGGAAGTTATTGTCTTATTAAAAGGGCTTCGATTTATCTGCATGTCAATGATGTATCCACTGATTTATATTCTTCTTGGCGATCTTTGCAGTTTCCAGATCTATATTTTTAACACACAATAAAGTATACAAACAAATAAAAATACCCTGTTTTTTTTGCCGAATTAAAACTGCAATTACCATAAAACTTTAAAAAAATCTTTCAGCCGTTCCATTCTGGTAAAAAAGGAAGACCAGCGAAGCTGTACTATGGTGGGAATTAAGTAATTGCCGGACGCAAGTTGGCAAACCAGACTGAAAGGGTGGAAAGGTTGCCGCCGTCGCTAATAGATGGTGGTAGCTGTCCAGAGTTTTGTGTCGAGATCTGTTTGCCCACGGACACGATACTGGGGAAACTAGCCCTTAACAGCTCCGCTGTAATGTATGTATAAAGAATGGCTCGATAAATTCCCCCAAGCTCTGAGCTCCAGTCTGGCGAGTAGTTCGTCTCCTGAAAGAAACGTCCTGTCCACCGCAGACGCAAAACACTCTTGGGAACGCAAGAGCAAATCCTCCGTGGCAACTTCTTTTATGTTATTGCGGGCGAACGTTACATGTTTGGGGCTTCCTTACCACTTAATCTTCAGACACCAAGAGTGATTTTTGACCTTATGACAGCCTCGCGCAGTGCTGAAACTCAGTAATAGCCGCTCCTCTACAGCGACCTCTAGTACAATTGTCAGTACCCCATATATTACGCAACCAAGTATTATGAGCAACATTATAATTGGAATGCACTAGAGGTCGAACAGTGAGCTTGAAGGAAGAGTGTGAAATTATGCCAGTTTAAAACAGGTACGCGCACAGGTTTGCAGAATACTAGAAATACAATTTCTAACCAGAAAGCCCCGACCTAACATTGACAGCTATCATATGCGACTTGGCTCTCATTACCACGTTTCAAATCGCCTAAAAAACACCGCAATTAAACAATATGATAACTTGAAATACAGAAATATTTTAGTATTTGCTTCCTGTCAGTGCATCCGAATATGGCACAACAAAAAAGTGTCCTAAAATTTCGTCTCATTATAAAGTAATGTTCAGTGAGATAAGAACTTTACTTTTGCTAATGAGCCGATGAACGAAAATTTAACTCACAAATATTTTTCATTAAAAAAAAAAATTACCGGGAGGAAAAGGGGTATTTTTAGTCAGGCGAGTTGCTCGAGCATCAGAGGCAGCGCGTTTGTGTTATGCTCTCAATAAAAAAAGAAAAAAAGAAAAAAAAAACTTGTATGCAAATTTGTGGGCTTCTTAATTTGGGAAACAATAAAATAAAACATATCTGTTGTCAATTTAACATTTAGGACTGTGCAAAGGTGTTTGTCGCGTCTTTCTTATATGTGTCCGAGTCACGCACAAGCCGATACTTTTTAGGATTCAGGTGCACACCAAGCGATCCCGCAGAAGGAAGCCAGGCTCATAAACACGGAAACGCTTAAAAACATAGCAGCGACACAGTTTTGCACGAAAACTATCAGGCTAAAACTCAGTTTTGGAAAGAAACGTCGTGCACAAGACCAGAAATATCGAACAGAATGAAAGCAAAGTAATGCTGCATTTAGAATAAAATTAACCAAAACCGATAAATGCTTTTTTTTTCTCTAATTTTTTAGGTGAAATTTAATGATATCACCAGATGTATATAAAGTATATGCTTTCAGATTTGAGATCTTTTGTGAACGCGATTTAATGCGAGCTTTGTTCTGCGAGATCACTTCACAATTTGGTATATTTTCGACACGACTAGTTAGTCTGGTCGGTTTAGAGGTCACAGGGTAAAATAATAACGAGTGTTTTCCAGCCGTCCCGCTTCCAGCGCGTGCACTCCACCTTGCGCGGTGCCTCGGGGTCGCACAAACATTTGTCGTAGAGTGCGACGGAAACGCCCGAGGTGCGGTCAAAAGCAGAGAGCTCGCATTTGAAAGTGAGCCGCTCGGAAAAGAGGCCCTGTCGTCGCCCGTGAAACGTGAACGCCTCGTATTGTGTGCACCATTGGACGTGTCAGCGGTACATGTGCTGCGCGTTCTGTTAAGTTAGACAGAGTGATGGAGAGAGAAAACACAAGTGCAGTAAAAAAAGAGCGTGAGCGCGCGCGCGCGCCTGGCGGAGAGTTCGCCCCCCACCATTATTACGCGAGGGTTTTTCTGCCAGAACGAGTTAAGTTTGGGATCACTCGGGGCGCCCGCAGAAATTAATGCAAAAGACAATAAATTACCACTATACAAGTTACGAAGATTCTGTGGAATGTGCGTAAAGGACTAAAAATCAATTTCCCGCGCTGTTCTTCTTTTTTTTTTTTAGGTACATTTTTTACTTAAAGGCACACAGTAATTAACAGTCAAGCATCGATTGGCACGCCATACTTTTGTCGGTAATTTTTAAAGTTTGAATAAAGAACAAACCGATATGAGCAGCGTGGGGAATTCCGTACATTTTAGAGGGGGGCCGTCTAAATAGTGGCAACTAGGGCGCACATGAAGGCACTCTAGTGGCAACCATAGATTACGCGAGATAAGATTCTCTGTTTCCTGTAGCTTTTGAGTAGCCTCCCTTGGCAAAACACCGGGACGAACTCTCCGCGCGTGCGCGCGCGCTTCTCCGAGAAGCTCGGGTCGACCGCGGCCGTCGGGAACTTGGCTGCACTGCAACGGGGAAAAGATGCGGTTAGGTGACCTCGTAGCAAAGCGAGGCGAACAGCCCGAAAGCATTGCGGCGGCGGTCAACCCGCCGGGGCCCGAACAAGCCCCTCGGGGCACGCCCGGGAAAGGCTCGCGGGTGTAGAAGCATAGAAAGAGATAGAGAGAGAAATAGAGAGAAAGAGCCCCGCCGAGAGGAAGAGCGGCGCTAGAGAGAAAAAAAAAAGGCAAGCCACTAAGAAAGGGGGATGCAAGCATTCCTCACAACTGGCTACAGTGGCAAAGGCATGCAAATGCACCACTAGTACCGACTGCCGGAGGGCAGAGCGTCTAGGTCGGTCCGCGATGGCGGCTAAGACTACTACGAAGGAGCATGCCCTGGCTTGTCGCTCGCTTCAGCCAACGGCCGTCCCTTGTGGCGCGCACGGGTCCGGCCCCGCCCCGTTGCGGACCCCGGGTCCAGACCGACGGCGGTGTGCCCGGGCACATGGGGCCCCGGGCGCGGGCGCGGGCCCGGGCGCACTGTCGGTTCGCGCCCCCTCACCCGCAGCGCAACGTCGCTGTCGCGTGACGTTGTGCATACCCTTTCCCCTGTTTGAACCAAACCCTTCTCCAGATTCAACGAAGATGTTCTTAAATTTTGACACTTAAATAACGTAGCTCTCGCATTTGAGGAGCTAGCCTACACTCGCAACCGGCTGATGAACTCGAGAAGGGAATTAAAATGGTTGACCAAATTAGGTGGAACATCCGCATACCGAGCAAGATTTTGCACGACTTTGGGAAACCGTAAAGTGCCCCTGCAACCGAGGCAGCACATGGAGGTAAGCCTAATATTTTGGGGCGCATGAGTGGACTGCGCACTTTTTGTGCAGTTGTCTGCCTCCGCCGCAGCAATTTTTTCGCCTGAATCGAATAATGCGAAACAGTACCCAATGCAACAAGTTCATAAAGATTGGCAAATGCACTATCATTTTTACCATTCTCTCCCAACGTTCGTCGAACCGTAAACGTAGCAACCGTCGTCAGAGTATGACAAGTTCTGCTCTGTCAAACTTTGCGCAACCCCTAAGACCTATGTCATGACGCCATTATCTTGAATCTCCCTCTGGAAGTTGCTATTCCAGGTGTTGGGTTTGGCGGGCTTTTAATTCTCTTCTCAAAGTAACAAACTCGCACCGCTAGATTGCCTTAATCGCACAAAAATATGTAGCTTTTTTTTCTTACTGTCTTGTTAGAAACAATGAACCGTTTTCTAGAGGATTGGAAAGTATGATCGCAGGGAAGCCTTCAGGTGATAACCTTGTGACTCAAGAGACGTCATAATCATCTATAGCTTTAGTTACAATCAGTAAAGAACGTATTACATTGAACTTTGATGCATTTTTTTTCTTATGTTTTTGATGGGTGCGAAGCAAATTTAGGAGGTGAGCTACCTTGCTCACGATCATTACGTTGCTGGTTTGCAAATATTGGGAGAGCAGGGTCTACATGGCAAGGCAAGGCTAGTTCCTCTAGACCTCAGCTACGCTAACTAACTAGGTGCGTGGGCGGCGCTCACGGCCACCGCTCTGTGCGGCTAGTGCAGCTTCTAAGGTAGCGCCCTTCGATAAGACACACCGCCAAGAAACGAAAACCAGGTGAAAGAAGAGAGAGGCAATAGAAGCACCGGAAGAGGGAGTGGTCGGGTGGGCAGAGGGACGAGGGTCACGTGATGAGGTGTTCGTTGGGGAAGAGGCACGTGTGTGTGTCGGGGATGAGGAAGGTAGAACAACAATATCTATACTACCGGAGAATCTGGTGGCGATGGCGGACTCGCCTTTTCCTGCAAACAAGAAACACAGAGAGCCAACATTGATCTACCACCAAAAAATATTACAAACAAAGGAACCAAAACGTGTAACGCACAGGTAACACACGCAAGGCAACAACGAAGCAGCAGCAAACGCAAGCAAAAGCGGTCACCACGACAGGAGATCACACGAGCTGTCACGTTCGGGCAGACACTTAGGCTGGCCTTCCTAGAGAAAGAGAGAGAGATAGAGAGAGACGGCCGCAGCCACCGCTGGCGGCGCACCAACCTACGTGCACGTGCGCGCCCCTGCGACGTACATAGAAGAAAAGAAAGAGAGAAAGAGAGAGAGGGAGAAAGAGAAACAAATCCCTGGAGCCCTTCCCAGAGCTTCGCCAGGTGCCAGAACCCAGCAGCGATTCAGGCCAGAGGTCTTCACGTGCCTGGTGCCTGCCTACTCCAGAAGAGGTGCCCAAGAGCCTGCTTACTCCAGAAAAGGTGCCCAAGAGCCTGAATACTGTAGATGTTCTAAAGAACCTGCCCACTCCTCAAGAGATGCCGGAGAACCTGCCTAGTTCCGAAGAGGTGCCCAAAAGCCTGCCTACTCCAGAAGAAAGTGCCCTTGCCAGCAGTTGACCCTATGACGGCCTCGCTTTGTCGGCACCCTCGTAACCACCTCGTGTCTCCTAGTGTCCGGTATATTACAGACGGCAGGAGGGATGACGAAGTGGACACTAGTTGCCTTTTTCATACTCGGGGATCGCGTGCGCTTGCGATGCCCACTTTGTCATTCTGTCTGTCGTTTGTAAACATGTAGATTTCGGTTGGTTTTGGAGTTTTACATATAGGGTTCTAAGCAGCTCCAAACGTATGTATTTTTTTTTTAATTTCTTTTCAAAGTATGCTTTATTGAGAAATCAGCACAGTTTTACTATTATTTATTCTATGTTTGGGGGTGTCACAAGGAAACCTAGTGAATTTTATTGCGAAGAATTTCGCTTACAGGGTTTAGGGTAATGTGATCTTCTTCCATCCTCCCAACAAAGAACGAATCAGACTACTAGGAGCATACAGTGTAGAAACTTCTATATCCGCTGTATGGAAAGGTGAGGTTATGCGAGAAATATCACGACGGCCAGAATGATTCATACCCACATAGATAAAAAAAACAACATAAATATGTCTTAGCTTATTAACATTACTAAGCTGCGTAGCGCCAAACACGATTCCCGAATAGACAAATTATGTCTATACGCTGGATAATAAATCTTGCTAGAGTCCTACATACCGAAGATGATATGGGAGAAAAAAAAAATTTAAGCTCTGCAAAAAAAAAAAAAAAGTAATTTCGTACGCAGTTTCTCAGGCCTCAGTCCCCCACAATGTGCAAGTAGTAAATTCAGTCATTCTTCTAGAGCGTTTCTCAATGTCCACTAACCGTCAGACTTCCAGCTCCGGGAGCTTGACCAAATCTTGTGGTCCTCCAGTTTTCGAGAATCAGCAGGCCACCGTAGATTTTTCCTACTGTGAGCTTGTGTTCTTGGAGTTCTGCAAATGATAATCTGTAATTCAGTGATGCTTTTCATTTAAATAGGATAGTACGAGGGTGATAAAAAATAACCCGCTGTCCGGATGCCTTAAAACTTCTGTTGGCAGCATTCCCCTATCAGCGCTTTCGGTACGAGGCCGCGGTTTCTCTAGTCACATGCTGTGCAGGTTTGAACGTGTTAAGTCAGTTCAGTTGGGACCGAGGGGCGAGAGACAACGGCCACCCCACTTATGATTTGCACGAGTGGGGGAGCCATTGTTTTTGTGGTCTGAGGGTGAGTATGGTGCCAATATTTATCGAAGACTTTGTGCGCAGTGCGAAGAAAGTGCTTTGTCGCAAAAAAATAAGAGTATATGTTTGAATTGATACAGATATTCAAAGAAGGACGCACATGTGTCACCCATAAAGAAGAAGTCTGACGCCCATCCACGTTCACGACTGATGACGGCATTGAGCGTGCACGTCAACCGATTCGGTCACAGTGACAGCGGATGACGTAAAAATAATTTTCAAATCAACGAAGGCTTTTCGCATTTGACAGAACGCATGACAGGCTTCAGATTGAAATGGTTTTGACTAATATAATTCAGAGTGCCAAACCGAACCCGAACCGAAAACCGGAGCAAAACCTTTATTTTTGATCGAGCAGTAACAAGTTTGTAACCGAAATTAAACATTTGATATTTGAACCCGAACCGGAACTGAACCGTAATTTCACGTGGCGGTTTCGGCTTATTGGTGAAGGTTTCAGAGTAATAAAATGTGAGCCGCGCCTTATTGCGGGTGGTGGCGCAAAGTCAAATAAATATTCGCGTTGGTGATATCAGCGGCGTAGTTTTCACTAAACAAACGGTAGTGACAGAGAGACAACTCTATAATTAAAAAAAATATTTCACACCTATGTGCAACACGACCTGACGCCGGCAAGTCAGCGCGGAGGCGTAAACGTTTATACTTTGTTTTGCCTTACGTTGGACCGCTTAAAGGACTCTACAAGCCACCAGAGCCAATCCGTAGCTAGGATGGTGCAGTCGTGTTGCCGGCCCGGAATTCGCTCAGCCAGCGATCAGGGCAACACACGTTGTCCAACACAAGTTGCTGCTGTTTTTGTTGCCGAAAGCTGTCATACCGAGGCAACATTCTAGTTGTCGTCCATGTTGCCGTGCTGTTGCCGCGATGTGACAGGTTTGTCGGACAACATGGGGAGCGATCAACAGGTTGCCCGCCTGTTGGACAACGTGCTGTGTTGCTGTTGCCGTCATGTTGCCTCAGTGTGACAGGGCCTTTACGCGGAGCGCAAGTTCGTGTGTGTGTGTTTTTTTGTGTGCAAGGGTTGCGATGATGTCAGAACGCCGAGCTCTTATTGGCTGACTGAAAAAAAAAAAATAGTGGGTAGGCCTCAATGCGTCTAGCGTTGAAGTATATCCACTATCCTTTCATTCAAAGCCAATCAGAGCTCAGCGTCGTTCTGACGTCACCGCAAATCCTGCGCAAGAAGCAGACGACTTGCTCTCCGCTTAGGATGACGCCGTGACGGTCATATTGGCCACAGAAACACTGTCTGCCGACATTGTTCCAAGCACACAACTGTATGAATGATTTTGTAATTGTGTATGCAGCCAACATCGTGTCTTTTGTGCAATCTATGAGCAGTGTAAGTGCGGCTTTATACTATGAGGCAAACCGGTACGGCTCTGACAAAGATACCAGGTCGCAAAAATAAAATCACACAGGAAAAGAAAAGAAAAAGAAAAAAAAGGGTTGGACCGTTGGACTGATGCCCTCACCGGAGTCTGGAGGCATGAACTTGTCCGTGACCTTGCGGGCATGCAGCGGCCACAGCTTCCGGATGGTTTCCTTCAGTTCCTTGTCGGCTTGGTCCATCTCCTCCGCTGCAAAGCGAGCGGTGTGCAGTTTTTAACGCGCGTTCAACTCCCGCTGGAAATACAAGGTCCTGTCCGCAACTCCGAGTACGCGACGCCGCCGAGCGGAAAATATGCAAAGGAGAGAAGCGGGGAAGCTATACTACCTATCCGAGTGTGCGACAAAAAAATTAGCGTGACCTGGCGGCCGGAATGTCAAACGGAGCAAAGAGGATTAAATGCGGGCCGTTTGAGTTGCGATAGTTTTCCATTTGCGTGACTTCACGGTCTTTCCTAGTATCCGGTGTTCTCACAGTGACCACCCTCAGTCAGCCCTTTGTGGCAGAAGGTTGCTCCAACTGTCGTAACGTGACTACTGCTAAAAGAAGGATTACCGCACGAGGGACACTGTTTATTCGGTTCACTCACCTGGTCTCATTTTGATACTCAGATTTTCTCTGATGAGAGCGAATAACGTGGTGGTAAAATTCACTTTTCCTTCTTCTGTAACCGGCATGTTCATTCGAATGAGTTTCTGAAACAACCAGGGCAATACATAAGCTTCCAACCTGTGCACTACTCAAAGATAAGCTTCAACGAAGCAAAAGAAAATAAGAACCCCTCACGAAGAGATAGGTTTTGCTGCAGTGTAGAAGACGCCTCATTCGGGTTCTTCTAAATTGTTTACACCCATTTTGTAATTTTTGTTTGGGAGACCTACCAGAACCCTAGTTTTGCAGTGTATTGCACTTCAGATTCGTGCATTTAGTGGAAACTGCGGGGCTTGTTTCTTGGATCCTCTGCCTCCAGCACGTGCTCGTTGCCTTCAGCCATGCTTTGGCCTCTCGCTCGGAACCCCAGACCATAGCATCCTCTATACTCCCAAAGCCTGGCAGTTCAACCCCGGAGCCATAGAGTGCCCGGTGGCAGATTTGGAGCGCGAGGATCTGGTAGCACAGAGCATCAAAAAGCCAAAGCCTTTTTTCCGGGAACCTGGACGTCAGAGCACAACTTCTGCAGCGACAAGGATCCGAAACCCACTTGTTTGTTCTGGAGAACTGCCTTTCGGCGTCTCGCCACAGCGGGGCGCCAGTCATGTGGCTCTTTTCTCATCCGTTGTCTGCCGCTCCACCTTTTATATTTCGGCGGCCGCTTCTCATGGCAATTTGCCAGGCTTTGTCAGTATATAGGAGGCTATGCCCAGAGACGCCAAAGCGCCATTCAAGGTAGGAAGCTCGCGCCGGAAGGAGGACAACTGAAAGACTTCTCTGCCGTTCTAATCCTGTCAGAGACTGTAGTACGCCTTGGGCTACAGCCGACGGTAATGTTCGTGGTAGTATTTGGTGGACGAAACAATAAACCAAGAACTACAAAGGAGAGGGTCATGCGTGTTTAAAACGCTATTTCACGAAATAGAGTCAAACTTTTTGAGGTGGTTACAAACAACTTCATGTCCACATAAAATCGTAAACAGCCAGACCATACAAAGGCAGTGCCCTGGTGGATTTTTTTAGCGGGCGATCTTAGGATGGCGTACCTTGTATGCCAGTCGGTAAGGACACTTGTTGCCGAAACCCAGCGGAGGATCCATGTTACGAAGCATGTCGTACATCTCGGTGTAGTGAATGTACCCCCTGAAATAAAAGGCTGCAGTCAAAACCCAAACGGCCGTATCATGGTGGTCGTCTTTACAATTCGGTGTACATTTATTTATTTATTTATTCTATTACTCTCAAGGTCCAGCTGGTGTTACAGAGGCGAGAGTGCAACTAAAGCAACAGTCTGGCGTTCCACAAAAGCCTTGGACAGAATGCAGAAAACCTTCAGCGATATTCAGTGCTGTTCTAAAAACAACAACAAAAATAATGAAAGACGTTTGCAAATTTTTGTGATGTGAATTAGAGCGTGGCTCTTGAGAAGGGCAGGCGACGGAGGGGAGGGTGTGCCCCTCCTCCTCCTTCCCTCCTCCTTCTCCATCCCCTCCTCCTCCAATTCAGTTTCACCGCTAAATTCAGATGGGAAATTTACGTCACATGACTTGGTGTCACGTCACCCATGAACAAATTCAGGTTCTCCGCTAGATTTAGAGGGAACATTGATATCACATGACCTCAACCTCAATTCGATTCCCCGTTCAATTTAGCGGGGAATTCAATTGGTGTTGAGGTCACGTGACGTCAATGTTTCCGCTAAATCTAGCGTGGTTAAGCCAACGCCGAGGCCGACACCGACGCCGACGCTGCCAAATCCGGAAAAGGGCACCTAAGAGCTGCGCTCTAAAAACAACAACAACAATGAAAGACTGATATCAACATTGGTTGCGCGAAGACATGGCGGAGAGCTCACAAGCTGTGAAATATTATGCTGTATATTTCTCGAGACACCAAACTGCGCTCTTTTTTCACAGCAGGAATAAGCTAGCCGTTGTGGCGAGATCACACACACCACTTGAATATAACGCTATTTAGAGGAATATGATGACCCAATATCAGTACTTCACGTTATGCCATTCAAAACAAAAAAACAAAAAAAAAACACGATGTTTTTTTAATTTTTAATAAGAAAATGGCGACCACAAACACCGTTTCATCATACTGGCAAGACTTGTGAGACGTTTTTGTACATCTGCAGTCGGTGACAGGTCAAGAAGGAAGTGGAAGCTCCTCCCACCTCTTTTCACTTTAGCAGAGCGACCACTGGAGAGGAGGTCGCCTCCTCTCCAGCGTTCGCTTTGCTAAGGTGGAAAGGGGTCTTTTAGCCTGTCACCGAGAACGACGTTTTCAAAACTCGTTTCTAAGAATTGAATAAGCTAACCTTACGTTTTAAAGTTCGATACCTTATCACCACCGCTAAAGCAAAAATCCAGGCGGCGCGTCTGAGATTTGCGTGTTGCGTAGTCTGTGTAGTAAAGTTATGCGGTGTCGAAATATTACAGCTTGCCTCAGGCAAATAGCTCTCAAGTTACCAAAAAGCGTCACTAATGTGCAAACCTCAGTAATTATTGGGCTGCTCGACAGAGGTGCGTCACCGCGCTTGCTTTTGTTCCTCGAGTTGGCGCAGTTTGTAATTGCGTTTCGGGTTTAACGTTACTGTCACTTAATTACTTTTTTAAATTCCTGCCTGTAAAGGCTTGTTTACACATACCCCACTGCGCGATCTCAGCGCTATCAGTCAGTGCTAGAAATAGCGCTGATCTTGCTGGTGCAGCGCCGACTTTGCGCTATAATAGTGATATATCGTTGATAGGGTGCTACATAAGTGCTAAGCAAATTTCAAGCCGGCGCTGTGTTGATTTAACGCTGCGATGTATGTATAGACAGGAATTTCGACTCCAAAGAGGAAACAGAGACTGTTCCGCGTATAACAAAATTAGTCGCAGGTGTATGTATAAACAATCTCGATGTCAAAAGCAGTAATTACCACAACTTTTAAATTACGTCCGCTACGCGACCTGCCGTAGTTCCCTGTATGGTAGCAGCTAGACGACATTGGCGATTAGCCTTGAAGACCACAAGTGTCACAATAGAGTAGTTATAAATGATAATAAGGATATACATAGTAACCCTTGAGCAAGCGGACAAAATGGGACGGACAGACACGAAACTCTGCTTCAGTCTGGCGCTCAAAGTTGGACATTAGGAAAAAAAAAATTCGGTGAGATTATTGACTTTCTTGCCGAGTGTCCAACTTAGAGCCTCTGGACAAGAGGATCGCGCAACTTTCGTGCATGACGAGGACTGCCACTACAAGGAACTCAAGTTGCACAGCGGCGCAGCGTCGGCGGAGCCGATTTGAAGCAACGCATGGCTGGGACTCACGTGGCGTTCGGGTCGTACTCTGCCCAGACTCGAATGAATTCGTCCAGGTGATGCGCACCCAGGATGGAAGAGTCGCGCGTCAGATAGTCGAAGTTGTCCATGATGACGGCGACGAACAGGTTGAGCATCTGGGAAAGCGAAAGCGGTATAAGTTTGGGACGAGGTTCTGCCGCCTCTTATTACTGGCTATCAGTGAAGCCGTTATTTATATGAAAAGGCTACTCTACTACAATATTACTGAGCATGTGATGCAACTCAAAGTACCACTCAGTGACCCGCCGGCATGGTGATGCTGACCTTGTTCACACTCACAAAACGGCCGGTTCATACATTCGCGTTTGACTGAGTGTTTTCTTTTTCTGCCGGTTCTACACTGGTGCCATCAATACGGTAGCCTTGAAACACTTGAGTTGCGTATACATTTTTATATAATTTTATGCATAATCATTTTATCGCGCGCTTTAAATAATTTTGCCAGGTTAAAAGTTGATAAATTATTTGTCACAAACAAAGCGTAAATTTTATTTCGAAAATACCGCAAAACATTCAGTCTAGCTATACTCATGTTCCAATTTGGGTTAGGTACAACTATCTAAACTAGGTAGGAAGTATTTGTGAAATACGGCAAAAAAGGTAGACCTGGAAGAAAAATACTTGAAGACCTGGAAGGACGGGTAAAACCGGAACATATATACTGTGTTTCAAATCTACTCTATAATTGACGCAAGTGTGCCAGCGGTTACAAGAGGTCATAACACACTCGGTATTTTCAAACGCAAAAGCGCGAACCAGCCTTAAAACAGAAGATTTGACTAGGGAAAAAGATGGCTAGGCTGGATAGTGTTTCGACCTGAATATGCACATAACTGTCATGCGACCGTGAAACTCCTCCTGCGTGATGTATATAAATTATTAGTGACCGCGGGTTAACAGTCGTACCGCGCTGGCTAATTTGCTCTTCTACAAAGGGAAACAGCATCTTCATATCTCAAAAACCACAGTCACGGTGCTAATATATCATACAAAATACGGTCTGCAGCTAGTGGGGAGTTTTAGGAAACCGTTTTTTCACATCGGATACGGTACAATGGGCCCTCCCGTACGAACTGCGCATGCGCGACCGCAGAAGACTCGCGCATGCGCAGTTCGTACCGGAGAGCCTATCGTACTATATTGGATAGGGAAAAACGGTTCCCTAAAACTCCCTAGAGTCTGAGGCGTGTTTCATCCTTATAGTAAAACGGTCACATTGATCATGCAAGAACTGTCTGCAGGTATGCTCCAAGCCTACATATGAAAAAAGGAAAAATGCCCAAGACGTGTGTGAAGATGAGTCCGTGATCATGTCTGCAGCTAACGGCGAGTCCTTTGTATGATGTAGGAGTATCGCGACGGCCAAGCTGTCTAGACCAAATCGACGTCTATAGTATGGACGACGTCTCACCAAAAAAGAGCAGAAGAAGATGAAGCTGACGAAATAGGCGTAGGCCACATTGCTGCCGCACTCGGGTTTCTCCTTCCTGGAGAGCGGGTCGCAGGGGCGGTTCTTTACGCAGGCCATCATTATGGCCTGCCAAGCTTCGCCCGTCGCACACCTAGATGGACCGCGGCGAAGGAGGCAACAGGACATCAGACGAGGCCTAACTGGAGAACGCTCTAACTTCTGCGATGGTCAGATGCTACCCAGTGGTCTAATAGGCTACGCCTCGAATGATGAAACTCATTCTTTCGTGGATTCGGCGATTATTAAAGATAGCTGAATCCATATAGTTAATCCAGACGATCAAGAAAATTGACGTGCGAGACGATATTACGGCTTCTAACCGCTACCACAATGTTTACCATTTACAACTCATTCGTGCGAAAGCTGTCAGCCATTTCAAATGATTCAGGATGAGAATCGTTGGTGGTTTATAAGATACTGCTTCTACTTTTCCTAACTGTCTTCATTTCTTGGCTTATTCTATCCATCTAAGTCTATAAAAACTAACCAAACACCCACTTTCAATCTCCTGTCAGCAAACTTAGTCAGTCCTACGTGCATCTGACCACCGGAAAGTTCTGCTTTTATATTTTGTTCCCCGACTAAGCGGGTGTGCTACGCTTTAAAACAACACTTGTTTTTACGAAACAGCGGCAGGAAGAAAATACATGCTTGTCCGCCGCCCAAAGTGAGACTGAGACAAAAGACGGACAGAGAAAGAGACGTTGCTACAGTGCGAGTTGTTGTGAAGCAGCGGGGAAGCTGAAGCAGCGTGTGCACGGGTTCATGCGAAGCAGAGTGCCAGAAGCGTGTGCTCCAGAAGCAGCTGGAGAGAGCAGCGGTTCGTGCCAAGCGGGAGAGCCACGAAGCGATGGCGCGCACAGCACCACGGTGACAACAGAAACGAAGCGGAGTCTAGAGACTATGGTCTAAAGACGGCGGCCAACTCGTCCCCACAATGTCGAAGCCTCTGACGCTCCTGAAGTCTGCAGAAGTAGGTGTCACACACTCGGCGCGAGCTGTGCCATTTTAATATAGTAAGCACTCAATAAGCTCTTTATGTCATACATCTAGCTCTGAATGTATGACATCTGACGAATTTAAATATCAATGTCAGAAAGAAAAGGCAATCAGGCTGAGCAAGCTTATGGCCCAAGTATATTGAGAAGGTCATCTTTGACCGGACTTAACTTTCCAAGGCCCTTGCTTTTCTGGAAATTTTTCGACGTTAGAACAACTCAAAGGCCTAACAGACTGAGTGTAATGACGAAGATCTTATGCGCATTTGTATTATCTTTAAATGTCCAGCCATCAAAACAAAGTCGTATGCGGAAGAACAATTCAATCAAAGCTTGCGATGATTACTATGTGGCTCGGTTGAGGCTCGACGCAGGGACGAACTGACCCCGGCACTGCTATACCGTGTCGTGTCTCTGCCAGCCCCTATCTAGATGGGCTGCCCGGTCCGCAAACGAGATGCGCTCGTGTCCGCCGACGGCACGGGCCGGCGCTTCCTGCATCCTGGTTCAAATTTGGTCCATTGAAAAAGCAGCGATCTTTTAGCCTCTATGATTACTTGGTTAGGAGAAACAACAAAGACAGCAATATTAAAACAAAAAGAAAGAGCTGGTTGGTTCTTCATTGATACCAGAACGCAACTGAACCAGATTAGCTGTAGTTTACCAGCGCATGATCTGGGACATTGATGGTGGCTTTCACGTTATAAACTTACGTTGTTAGCAATGATCGGCCTTGCGCGCTATTTGAACCTTAGATGTAAGTTATTAAAATAAGAAGTTTTGTTACGAGCACCACCAGTTCCGGTTACTGCCCACCTTGAATTCATATGGAAGCAGGAAGCGACGGGCAAGCAAGTGCGGCTCCGAAACTACGCAGCTAAGGAGAGTTGTTTGTCTAGATGTCTAGACGAAAAGGGGGCGATGGAGAGGCTTGAGCCCTCCGGATCGGCTAGAGCTAGGGACACGGCTAATGGGTAGAAGAAAGGGGTTGTGAAAGACGGCTCCAGGAAGCCAAGGCGAATCTTACTGGCTGTCAAGGGACATCACGGCCTAGTTTCTACGGAAAGAACCTAACTGTGTTTCCGGGATTCCTCAAATCAGTCGGAGCGAGGACTTCTTCCGGCAGAGGTGGAGTCGACGAAAAGGTCGGCTGCTTTTCGCGCGGCTGCAAGGCGGCGTCGGCGGCGACGCGCTTCGAGAAGGGACGAAGCGGGGTTCCGTTTTTACATTTTCCGCTTTTACCGACGGAGATCCAACGTCAAAGTTTTATTTCGTGCTGCATGTTTAACGAGGCGTCTCTCGCGCCTAGCCGCGTAGATGCCTATCCGCTCGCTCAACAGCCCACGTTACGGTAAAACATTTAGTCGTCGACAGGATAAAAACGTCAGCAAATTCTTAATTGCCCTGCTCTAGCAAGAAACTACTACGTTCGATCGAGGCTTACGCAACTTCAGAATATTGTTGACGGATGACAGCTCGTGCTGAACGCAGGTTTCCTAAAAGACCCCGTGCTGTTCTATTACCATAAGGTGTTCACAATAAATCCTGGCGCTGTAAAACGAACCACAGTATCGGCGCCTGCACACTTAAAACTTAAACATCCACAAAATGTGAATTTAGGTTGTGGATTTTACCTGGTCAAATTACAAGGCAAACTTCCTTCCTCTGAAAATTGAGACCTACACCACCTAAACGCATATTCTGTGATTTATATATATATATATTTTTTTAATGTGCAGACACCGAGTATTTCTGGCTTGTGTTATAGGGCCAAAATTTATTGTTGTCCCTTTATGTAGGAACTAGTTCATAATTAAGTACGACACTGGTCGTCTAAGAAATACCGGAACAAGGCTGTTGGCTTATGGATAAGCATCGTTATAGGTGACAGAAGGATTGGTATGTGCCAAAAAATTGTTTGGAGTGGCCACAAAACAATATAAAAAATCATGCAAGCTTTTTTTTTTTTTTTGCCGCCAGCGAGTGTGTGTGAATGTGTGCGCGTTTCCAGCAGGGCCGAACGATTACGCGCACACACGCACACATTTATGTCAAAATACACAAGCGAAAACTGAAAAAAGCGCACAAAAACACGATGGCCACGGAGAAGAAAGCACGCACAAAAAAAGTTCAGTCCAAGTTTTGGACTTGAGCCTGGAAAAAAAGAAACACGCATACAAAATGCAAGGGACAGATGGCTGTCGCGTTCGATTTAGCGTGAAGAGCGGATTCGCCAGTTGCTGGAATTAAAACTTGCCTGAAGAGAAGCATTAGACCTTGAAAGAAAGTGCGGAAGTTATTGTGCCTGGTTATTTGACTGTCAGATGCCAGCAATATATTTCCGAACACCTGGACAGGAATGAGAGCATGGGGGAAAGGTTAGGCTCTACGGGGGACAGGGAGAACATCGCGGCCTCGCAGCGCGTGCTGACCCCACGCCCTAGAGCACAGAACATGACACTAGAGTGCTTGAACGGTGTCTAGGGCCCCAGGATACAGAATTGAAGGGCATTCTACGTGGCGAAGGGTCAACACTGCGCGAAACCGCGATTTGCAAATTCCAAAGTTTGCGGTCAAAACCACCTAGAAAAACGAGAGCTGTCACGTTTATGACATTGGTCCCTCAATGGGTATATCAACAAAAATAATCGGCAACTTTCAAAAACGGTCGGGCGGTTGCCAGTGTGGAGTAAGCAGATCCACTGAAGAATCGGCGAGCGGTCACAGTCGTCTCTTATTTGATTGGAACTCTAAAGCGGGGGCAGGACTCTTGTCGCATGTCTCAGTAGAAAAGTTGTAACAATTTCCGATAATGAACAGGGGTTTCCTTCGAGGTGGCTTTGCCAAACTCGGAAATCGCCTCTACGCAGGTGCGAGCGCGCAACGTGCGAGGGCGGTCAATAAAGAACTAATGCGTTGACGACACCGGTTGTCCCGTGTCAAAATATCTTCACTACACTACAAACATTTCCAAATATTTATACGTTTTTTATGCGAGGGACTTTGCGTCCTTAGGCGCTGTGTATACAAAGACCGCTTGTCGTCAAAAAACGCAGAAGAGTCGATTGACCGCCCGTCACGGACAGTAAGCAAATATAAAACAATTAAAAAAATCTAGAAAGGGAGAAAGACAGATACTGAGGTTGATAGAAAGAGAAAGAGAGAGAGAAAGGTAGAGAGGAAGACAGAAAGAGTAAGAAGGGAGATTCTTCAGAGGCCGAAGGTGAGCCTTCATATGAAGAACGAGGTCGTGGCAGCCACTAGCCTAAGGTCGGGCCCACCCTAACGGGGCTCCGGTACAAGGACGGCCAGCAGAGCTAGGGTTGAAGCCAGGGAACCGGGTCCCGTCCGGTTCGATGCAGCCCGGGGCCCATGTCGGGGGGTTTCCATGGCAAGCGCCGTGCTCCGCCACCCGGGGACACTGACTCTAAGGAGGGGGCATCTCCCTACGGGCGCGGCTGCTACGCGGTGTCCAGCTAACTGCCGTGCTCCGAGCAGTATGCGCCGGGGGCCAGAAAGACGCGTTCGGCACGATCGCGTTCCCCGTAAGTCATGAAAAGTCAACCAGTAACATGTTTTAACAAATAATTAGTTTTTTTTTTTTTTTTTTGGAAGGGGGGGGGGGGGGCTCAGGTGGATCATTTTGCAATGAGAAGCAAGTCACACGAATTGCGCAGACCTGACCACGTCACGTCGCGGTATCACGTGGCAAGGTCACGTAATGTCACTGTTCCACAAGTTGTCAGGTGACGTGTTTGTCTGGACGAACTTTCCGTTCAGAGGAGTTTGGCGGGAGAAACTTATAAGGAAGATTTTATGCAAAAGAAAATATAAATATAATAAAAAAAGAGACTTGAAGAGGGCATTTACCTTCTGCAGGAAGACAATAAGTTCAAGGGAGAGAGTAAAATGATGATTGAAAGGCAGAGAGGTTAGCCTGAGCGCATGGATAATGTAAAGAGAATAAAAACAATAACGCCAAGCAAAGGCAGGGAAAAAGTGAATCTTTCACGATGTCCACCGTCTTCTGAAGTTATACTTGGGGTTTATAAAACAAAGGAAAAGTATATCTAGCAAGCACCCGACTTATCCGACCCATAAGCTTAAAAAAGGAAAACAAAATAATGAATTCACGGAGTGACTCTGGGGTGGCTCTGGCACTGCACTCGGGGCGCACCAGGGCACGACGCTAGCGTCCGACAGCGCCTTCTGGCCCGGGCGACCGCCACCGCTAGGATGGAGGACCGACACAGGGTCTCAGGGTCGTCTTGTGCACATCTAGCGCAGACCCTCGCAAACGGGGTTCCTCATGCTGCCCAACTCACCTAAACAAGAGTATTAACGACTGAAAGAAGGACTGAAAGTTGTTGTGGCGATTGAGTTCAGTATCGGGATCGAACCCGATATTCCCGAAAACCTGGGAATGGAAGGGGAACGCGAGCAGGGACGGAAACGGTTTAGGGATACACCACTCGGGGCCTACGTGTGTATCTTTGTAACAGATTCGATCAGCACATCTCTGGTCGGCTGAAGACTAAAGGTGCTAGACCTTAGAGCTTTTGTCGAATTTAAGGTTCAGCATCAAATCTCAGGTTCGGTGTCGAATGTCAGGATCGGCATCGAATCTCAGGATCGGAATCGAATCTCAGGTTCGGCGTCGGACCTCAGGTTCGGCGTCGGACCTCAGGTCGGCATCGAATCTTAGGTTCGGCGTCGGACCTCAGGTCGGCGTCGAATCTCAGGTTCGGCGTCGAATACCAGGTTCGGCGTCGAATACCAGGTTCGGCGTCGAATACCAGGTTCGGCGTCGAATACCAGGTTCGGCGTTGAATCTCAAGTTTTGACGGGTTCGGCGAACCTTGGGACTTTTAAAAAGGTTTGATGAGGTTTGACTACTTAGTCAACGTTTTCCACTTTCGAAAGCAAAATTCTTTTTTAAACAATTAGTTATAGAATAGTACGTTCAAGATGTATAAGATAATGACCAATGTCCGCGCAATATAAAAGCGAACATTGAAAGTTTGATTTGTTTTGTTTGTTTGTTTTCGATTAACGGAAATGTGCACAATAGTCGATCTTTTATTGAATGTGTATCGAATTTTAAGTTTTAGGTTCTAAAAAGTCGAACCTCATCGAACTCGAACATAGGAACGTTCGGGACATCCCTACCCAGGGTATTGTCACTCCGCGCGCTCAAAGCACCGGAAGGTCTTGTAGGCGCACAGAAACGTCAGTCAGAATGCATAGCTGTGACACCGAATGTTCACACTCTAGCCGATTTTACCATATAGAATGAGTGAACGGCGAACGCGGCAAGCCTGGGTAGGGAGGTCTAAAAGGCCCTCACAGATATGTGAGATCCTGCCCAGTGGTAGTTCTTTTAAAATCTACGCGATAAGGCACGAACCCAAAGCTGTTCACTGATGTTAATAGCCAGTGCAAATATCAACGCACGAATATGCTCGTCTGCGGCATTCAGCTGAGAATAGAACTAGAGTTGCGGTTGGGTAGTACGAGTACTCACGAAGTTACTTTTCGAAAGAGCGAACAGCCGACTACCAATGAAAATGCAACATAATCTTCCTTAACCTTACAATGAGAAGTTGAAGTTTGTTGTGGTAAGATGAAACAAAATTTGTACCCCCCTCCCTTCCTCTTATCATGTGTGATGTAAATAAAATATTTTTTTAGGGTAATAAGCTTGAACATAAAGTTAACACTGAGATTCACTTTTGGCGCTGCTCTAGAGCTTTGCATGTTCGTCGTTACCCCCTACGTTTGCTTCGCGTTTTAGCTCCTCGTTACGGAAAGCAAGGCGATAGAATTCGCATCTGGTCATAAACGTTAACATAACAACCCTGGACAAGGAAGGGGGAAGAAACCACGTAAAATTAAGAACACGCACACCCACCTTTTTAGTTTTTCGTCTCTCCTTCCTCCTTCCTTGTCTCAGTCCCAGGTTTAATTATGTAAATATTTCACCCGCTGGCCTCCCCGTTCGCTCTTTATTCAGCCGTCAAAATATGTGCACAGGCTTCAAGGTGATTCAAAGTATGACTTATTTGAGATACAAGCCTAATCCACGTGAAAAACTAAAACAAAAACATCTTAAAGAGTTAGCTTACTAATCAAGAACAAACAAACAAACGGGAAGATACAACTCACCTGCATGCCGATGATGGCGTAGATGAAGAATAGCATGGCTATGAGCAAGCAAACGTAAGGCAAGGCCTGGAAGAGAAAATGCTTTTGTGTGGTAGCGCTCCAAACACTCGCGTCCTGCGTAACATCTAACAGACGATTTTCCCCAGCAACACGCCCTCACCGAACTTGTGCTTAAAATACAATAAAATATCGTTGCGATTGACTCCATACAACGTGTTGATTGAGTAGTCTGATACGCACACACTAGAACCTAATGGTAATACTAGGTCAAAAATTTAACTTTTACTTTAAATTAAGGGCGGATTTAACTTTGGCACGCCTCCGCCCTTGCTCCAACTTGGCTCCCCTCGCAGCTTAGGAGAGGGGGAGTGCTAAGAGGATTAACTTCCCTGCAGATAACCCAGGTTCAACGTCGGCTTTTAACACAGAATGTGTTTATCGGCTAGATTTCATGCGAAAAGTGTAACACTCAAGTGTGATGAAAAAGCGTTACGCGTAGGTCACGGCTGCAAATGCTGCATAGCCGAGAGAAGGCAATGCATAAGCATCCAAAGGATATAACATAGATAATTATTCGTAATAATTCATGCTTAATCATAACTATAAAAAATTAATCGAAACCAGAAACCGAAGAACCGCGCGCTCTGCCATAAGATATATTTTCTCGGCGCCACAAGCGGGACATGAAAGAGAACGGAACCAACTGGACTAAGTGTGACTTGCCGCCGACGATCGCCTGCGGTAGCAGGCGACTGTCCGTGGTGATGCTTAGTCCAGTATACTTTGGAGATTAATGCGTAGTACTCAGGTGACCGTTGGCGGCGTGTTTTACTAAGCACAACATTGTTAATCTGCAGACGACTGTCTGTCAGTAAATTTAAACCGCAGGAGACAATCGGCTCGCACAGCTGGCACCCGAATAAAAAGCGTTGCTCCCCAAGTAGACTCAAGACGTCACGGGGTAATCAATAATGTGCTAAGGGATTGCGCAGCGGGCTTATGACGTCACAACTTTAGACAGAAGTCTATTGATAGCCGTAAAGGTCACGTTAAACCTCCTACAATCGCGATTCTTCACTTACCACATTGGGTTTCTCGCAATTAAAGAGCCCTAAGAATTCAGAGCCTACACGCACCCGCCAAAGATCCAGAAAAACTTCTCATTGAAAACGTACTCATAAATCACGACACACTCCACTCCCGAATAAATTTAAATTGATCTCGATCATTATGATAGACTTGGTGAACACAAGTGTGTGTGTCGTGTCTGCAGCACATCCGAAACCACCCAATGTTTCCGGCAACCAAGCGTAGCAAATCATAACGCAGGCATAATACACACACGACACACCCTGTGCTCCCAGCGTTTATCAAAATGATCAAGGCAAGTTGACATCTTTTTGCCCTGAATATAAAGAAATCATATTTATGAGCATTACTTTATTGTACTTGCGCAACGCACCAGTTACATTTTTAATAAAAAAACAACGCAAACGCTTTTTCGAGCGACCAAGGGAAAGGAAAATAAGTATACTCACTTTGAAAGACTGAATAAAGGTCCAGAGGAGAATTCGTATTGTGTAACCCTGCCTGAGTAGTTTGATGAGGCGGGCTGCTCGAAATAACCGAAGAAACCCGACGCTGAAAAAATTTAGCTGAAAAAGAAAGCACACGAACCCATTCGCAGTTAGGCTTTTTTCGATTGATGCTAAGCTGGACTGATAGAGATAAAGCTTCCCCATCAACAATGAGATCATAATGCTCTGTCATCCAGATTGCATTGAACATGCTACACAGACAACACCAGAGATGTCGACTGCTTAGCCTGAAGACTCCATTGCATGAGAGGGGAAAAAGGGGTTCAAAGATGATTGTACTGAATATATAATATGTATCAGAATACTGAAATATATTGTAGTCGCACTTTCTTAGCTTATAAACAAAAATAGCCTCAACCAAAACAAAAACAAAAAACACAAAAACACCAAAAAAGCAACACTAACAGCATGTTTATTTGAATTAGAATTCAAATATGTTTACAAAAAAAAAATATCCAAACTGTTAGATTTCCGATATTAATGCTAGTTAAATAACAACAACACCATGTGGTAAACAAACATGGACTTACTCCTGTCTCCATTACTAGAACGTCGATGATACTGCCTATGACAGTGATGAAATCGAAGGTGTGCCATGGATTCTTGAAGAAATTCTGGTTGAAAGACGTCGCAAAATTTGAGACAAAGAGTCAGTCACTGAACTCACAGAAGGCTGCGGTTGTCATGCACGCATGCAGCAGAGGGAAATAAACTTTTCCTTGCTCTAATAAAAAAAAAAAAGTAACTTACAACGAATTCTTTTCAGCAAAACAACAACAACAGCAACAACACAAACTATTTCCGAAAGTTGACAAAATAGGCGTCTGCGTTGGCCATTCAGTAATGTGAGTGAAACAACCAAGTTTAATTAAATTAGTTTTTGCTTCTTCCACACAAAATTTGGTCAACTTTCCTTAAAAATACACTTCTACGTCTAGCGGTCAATTATAATTTTTAGCGCTTTTATTTTTAAATATGACTATTGCTTGGCGATATTTCGATTCATTGCTATCATAAAATGTACTTGGGATGGTCTAAAAGTATTGATTAGCCTATCAAAGTCTTAAAAAAATGAAAATAAGAATTATTAGGCAAGTTTCATATCAAGGAAACTTTTTTTTCTACTTCCAAAGTGCATTCTAAATAATAAAAAAAAAAATAAGAGCAAGTATGCGTTTGCGCCGTACGTTAATATCAAAATATAATTTCTGATGTCAAGGCGATGTAATATTTAGTTGAAATTATCTGCAGTTTTGCCAATGAAAAGACAAAAAGAATAGTCCTACATTATCGAGTACTTTACGTGGCAAACAAAAATTTCCACGGTAATTAATAAACTAAATGTGCAGAGCTGTTGCCGAGATATCGCCAAAACTGTTGACCGTTAGCACACAAAGTACAGCACGTGTAACAGGTATGGTACAAAAAGCTCAAGAAGGAATCACGTGATAAGCCATTGAATTACAGCGACATCTCGCTAAGTGACTTTGCCCCGAAGAAGCCAAGGTACTTAGCGAAATCTCGACTTCGACTCTAAGACTTTTCAGGAGGTTCCCTTAGAAGTAACTCTGCTTATGTATAGCAAAGTCAAAATGCAACTGATTGACCACACACAACATCGATATGTTTGGGGGACGGTGTCATTGAAACGGTACTGCGTCCAGTAATAAACAATCACTCCTAAAATAAGGCAAGAGAGGTAGGAGAATGGGCTTGAAAAGGACACATACTATTGTGATACGACAGTGTAAAAGGAATATCGACAGCAACCCCGAACATATAAATTTATTGCCTGTGGTCACTCAATTTTATCATACGCTATAGGTTGTACCGTATTTCGTAATATAATTTGTAACGCCCATATTTAGGAACCCTGGATTGGTGGGAGAATTTAAAAGCGCACTCAAGTGGATTCTGAGATTGTCCACTTATTGTGACAACTCAAACTACTGGCTCTAAGCATGATAAAAAAACCGAAACTACGCTCACGGGTGGCCGATTTCCCTATTAAAAACCTAATCGAAGAGCGTGACACACCCTGTTTTCTGTGAGGAGCAGACACCAGGGGGCGCCATCAGACGCCGTGTTTAAACAATAATTACTATGTTACTTCCCTTACGCCTAAAGATTTGACGTTTTTGTGAGAACGTAATGCGCGACGCGCCTAAAAAGAGGAATATTAGTAACGTTCGAATTCTCCACGCAATTGATAATTTTCAATGATCAAATTTCATGGAGGTTGTGGGGACCCCAGGATGCTTGCCCCCACCCTCTCACCCCAGGGTTAAATAGTGCCCATATATTCAATTGCTGTGAGTTAACCAGGGCATCCTGCCATCTAGAAATGGTAAATTTTATTGACTAAAGCCCAACAAACAATGCGCCATCAAAAACAAGCTTCTAGAAAAAGCACTTGAGTGACCCTTTAATAGCGAATCCTGCGTTGAAAACTATTTCTTAACACGCATTTTCAAGTGCGCCGTAGTTTAAATAAGAAAATACAGCATTGACATTAAAATGGCGCAGTTGCTCCAGGCGAAAAGACAACCGATATTGCTCGCATAAAGAACAAGATAATATTTTTTTTTAATAACGAAAGGCATAATTTTTGTTAATCTCATTCGTTCACAAACGTGTCATCTTGCAGCCGATTGGCGATATTAGAGTCTAAGAAAGATTGCTACCGATCGGTGCACTTCAGATACGAACAACACTGGCGGAATATTCGCCTCGAGTAACTATAGGCACCTAAGGTATAGATGTTGCATAAAATGAAAATAACGACACTAACACCGCTCTCTTTCTCTTGGCATTAAAGAAACCTAAAGTTCACTCGGTAACTTTAAGCTTCTTTTTGTAAACAGATTTGCTGCATGTGCAACGGCATCATTAACATCAGCCTGCCTGAGATGGATCTCCAGAGTCCCTGGTAATAAGACTAAATGCAAGTTTTTACCCATTCCTCGAAGGACACGATCGATTGTTATTATGGAACTGATTCTCGAAAGTTAGCGTCCGTGCGGAAATGTTAGATATAAGCTAGCTGTTGACATCTGTTTTTGTATTAAATGATGCACATTAAATTTACGATACATATGCCAATGTTTAAATGGAATATGAGTATTTTGCTTAGAATCAATAAAAGTAAATCTTTCGACGCCTGTGTGAGACATGAAATATTTAGAAAATTGTCTAGCTTAACCGAACGTTACGTCCTAATTCGAGAAATTCACAGAAATACATATATTTTGGTGTGCACGAGACACCGGCTGCCAGCTGATCGAATTACTGGCTAGAGACATCTGTGGCAAAATTGACTTATCTCTCAGATAACGTGGTTACATATGAGCTGTTCACTGAGTTACCTTATTTGTATAATAGAATCTTACATCTAATTATGTTTTCTTATATTACATTATGCGTAATAATATTTCGGAATTCCAGGCTACAGGAAGGTGATAGCCAGATAGAGGAACATGCATTACGGCTGGTATACTGTTTTATTCGGTTATTTTTGAAACTTTCAGGGGAACTGCCTGAGAATCAGAATGATCGTAGTATAATTTATATTTGTACTAACTCTAGTCTTTGCGTATTTTTTTGTTTGTGTATCACCATTTTGATTACACAATTTAATGTAAACGAGCCGTGGATAACTAGACTAATGTCAACATGATGTTGAGTGACTCCTAATGTATGAGTCATATACGGTCTCCAACGGCAAGAGCTATGACGTCTCAAACTCTGCGAGTCATACAGTTTGAGACCAAGTATGGGTTAACACTTGGTCTCATACGGTAAATGACATCGCTTTTGAAAACGCGCCACCGAACGGCCTGTGCTGCGAATTTGTCTTTCGCAATTTCAGCTCATTTTTCAGTCAGAAGGTTCAGCCGTGCAAACAGTCTTTTCGTTAGATTTTCCAGAAGCTGAAAGATTTGACTTGTTTGAATCATTGCCAATGACAAGTTTTTAAGACGGGCTTGAATGCATCGAATAAGGATGTAATTGATAAGATCTTGTTAATCAAGATTAACTTAGCACAGCAGGGACGATTGGCGATATATGACATGAAAGTATAGTTCTTTCCATAATGAAAAAAAAAAGTTTCATTGGTAACAGTCGTCTTTTTTTTTAACTGTAGACAGGAACGAGCCTTTTCAATCAACATTAATTACTAATTGGTCATTTCGGTGCTCACCTATCTTGAAGAAATGTAGACTTTATTGTAATAAAGCTGGCCAAACTTTTTTTTAAATTATTTTTGGGGCTTATTTTTTAAAACCTATTCGTAATGGCCTTATCCGCGCGGTAAGCTGGGCACGATACGATCATAAATTAAATGATCCGGAATCCCTTCGTCCATGCATGCCAGGTCTGACTCATACCCATGCCATTTGCTGTTTTGATGTTTCTAATCTGCAGTGACGTGAGGGGGAAATAGGTGAAGTCGATTTCCCCCTGTCGTTCCTTTTATAGCAGTGCCAATCGAATGACTAAGTGTGACCAAAATGAACAACATGACCGACGATGCTCTACGAAATTCCAGTGCGGAAAGTTTTGGAGTCAGTGCGAGTTGCAAATCTTCGTTAATAACAAAAAAGAAAACAAAAAGAAGAAAACGTGAGCATTTGTTTGGATGCTTTGAGCGCTGCACTTCCTTGCTACGTGAGCCAGCGTGTAGATTGGGAATGCGCATCCAAGGCATCAGCTGTCGTGAAGTACAAATACTTTCCGACAGCCCACCAAAATTTCTGCTCTTTACTCGAGCTGGTGCGTAAAAAGAGTATCAAGCAAACATATCTACGGCTGTGTCGGGACGTGCGATGCAATGTCATACGGAGCGTGGAAACGTGGATGGCCGAGTGTGGATGACTCATAGCATACACTAGAGCCACTAAATGAGCTGCGCTTAGAGTATCGGCACTCCGTTCCGCAACATTGTTGTGGGCGCCGCCATTTTGGCTCGTATGAAGAGCAGAAGACGCAACTGCCGATCGTAATGATGCAAAAGTGTGACTTCCTCAGTATTAGATTCGGTGTTAGGAAGGTCATGTAATATTGCTTTGCTCTGTCGCGAACTGTTCAAACATTTGTCGAGGGCGGAAAAGCGTTTCCTGTAATTTCATATAAAGCTTCAGAGAACTGGCAACCATGATTTTAAGACACAATATGGCCAAGTGTCGTTACTCTGAAGCGTAGCTTATTTAGTGGCACAAGCATACACCAAAAAGGCGGTCGGAAGCCTCTTTAGTCAATGGTTCAAAACATGTAACGTCGTAAACGGCGTTTCGGAATGCAACCGCGGACTGTGGCTCACGTGTAGTGAAAACTAGAAAACGATGCGTGACCTAATAATTGACGCTTTCCTAGGTCTAACTTTGAGCCACTGCAAACTTGTGAAGAGGTATCGTCGTGCAGCCTTTAAGAGCATTAACGAAGACGCGTAGGGCTCCCATTGGGCCCGAGTTTGACGGGACTTCTCAGTAGACCTGAGCATCATTCTACACAATTTGGTGTACCTAAGAAGGACCCCGAAGAGAGCGCTTGCACTGGCTTTGCGAGTCAACAAACGCACACACAGGCCATTCTGGTTCGCAATACCTGATGCTAG